GGAAGCTCTCGCTTTCTCCCCCACCTCACAACCATATTCTCTTTCAGACAAATAATTCTTTTTTTTTTTTTTTTGACAGGCAGAGTGGACAGTGAGAGAGAGAGAGAGAGAGAGAGAGAGAAAGGTCTTCCTTTTGCCGTTGATTCACCCTCCAATGGCCGCCGCGGCCGGTGTGCCGCGCTGATCCGATGGCAGGAGCCAGGTACTTCTCCTGGTCTCCCATGGGGTGCAGGGCCCAAGCACTTGGGCCATCCTCCACTGCACTCCCTGGCCACAGCAGAGAGCTAGCCTGGAAGAGGGGCAACCGGGACAGAATCCGGCGCCCCGACCGGGACTAGAACCCGGTGTGCCGGCGCCGCAAGGCAGAGGATTAGCCTAGTGAGCCACGGCGCCGGCCAGACAAATAATTCTTAAAAATAAAAAGGCTGCGACCCAAACTGCCTGCTCCTGGCTGGCTGCCCGCAGCCTACGTGGGGGCTGAAGCTTCCCTAGGAAGGGCAGGAGCACTGGCTGGACCAGGTCTGCCCGTGCAACAGGCAGGGTCTCAAGTCTGTCTGTCTGCTTCGTAATTGTGCTGGGGGGGGGGGGAGGCCCTGCCCAGGCTGCCGGTCCCTCCCACCCCCAGCCCCACCGCGGTGAAGGAAATGCAAAGGCAAACAGGACTTCTGCTGCTGTCCGGCTGGGCTTAGCAAGGGGCAGCCAGGATGCCAGCCAGCAGGGGGGGAGGCTGCCAGCCTGGTGCTGCAGCCCTCAGGCTGGAACTGAGGGTGGCAGGGAGGGCAAGGAACCCAGAGCTTCTGCCCTGTGACTCTGCCAGCCGGTGCAGAGGGGAGGCTCAGCCCCCCAGACACCAGCGGTGCCCACTGAGCTTGGGGCGGCAGTTGCTCTCAAGCTGCCCCCTCTGTAGGGTGCCAGCACTCAGGGCAGGGCCCTGAGGTTAGGAGGAAGAGGCCGTGCAGTCAGACAGCACTGAGTTTAAGTCCCAGCGTCACTGTTTGCAGGTGGGACCTGTAAGCTTCCTCATACTCAGGTTAGGGACGACACAGAGTTCCTGGGGTGCCACTGCCTGTGGTGCCAGCATCCCACAGGGGCGCTGGGTTGTGTCCCAGCTACTCTGCTTCTGATCCAGCCCCTTGCAGCAGGCCCAGACGGGGGACCCAGGGGAAGCTCCCGGCTCCTTGCGGCTGCTGGCTTTGGCCTGGCCGGATGCTGCCCCTTGCAGCGAGTGAACCAGTAGAGGAAGATCTCTCTGTCTCTGTCTCTGTCTCTCTCTATCTTCCTCTGTCTCTCCAACTCTCCCTCTCTCTGTAACTCTGACTTCCAAAATAAATACTTAAATCTTAAAAAAAAAAAAAAAGGCAGCAGAAGGAGCTCCTGGCAGGGGGAAGTGGGAGCGCGGCGTGGGCAGGCTGAGCCCACGCCTGGCCGTTCTGCTGCTCAGTGACTACAGCCCTGAGGTCCCCAGCCAGGACCAACTGGGGCAGGTACCAAATTCCCGATCAGAATCCCTTAAGGCCAGCGTGAGAGTGCATCTCCCCCAAGTGCAGGGTGAGCCAGCCCTGGTCCTTCTGCCACTCTACAGATGTGGCCTGGGCCAGCACCGAGGGTGGCAGCGTCCCTGCAGCCCAAGGTGGAGCCGCCCCTTTCCCACGGCCACCTGGCTGCACAGCTGGAAACACAAGGGGGTTGCGGCTGACCCAGCTCCTGGGTGCCCTTTGGCCTCTGGTCCTGGCTGGGATCCAGGAGGCTGCGAGGGTTGGGGACTAGAAGTCCCTGAGCAGCTCTGCCCAAAGTGGCCCTGGCCCTTCCCCCTCCCTGGGAAGAAGAGCCACAGGATGCCCAGCCTGTGGCGCTCCCTGGACTTTGTCCTGCCTCTGGATGCTCAGGGCTGGACTCGAAGCAACTGCTGAGAAGGCGGGCAAGGGGCAGCACATACTCACGCCCACGGAGAAGCCCCCAGACCCTCTCTGTTAGGGGGCCTGGCTCAGGAGCCCACCCAGCAGAACGCCTTCTCAGGAGGAGCAGCTGTGTCCTGCGTTTACCTGGGTGGGGTCCTGTGTCCTGTGTGTGTCTGTGAGAGGGTCTGGGTATCTCCCTGCACGTGGGCCCTTCCTCGGCCCCCACCCGACGGATGCCGGGGCTGCACTGTGTATTTCCGGAGTCTCAGGCTTGAATCACAGGCTCTTATTTTTAGAAGATTACAAATGCGGGGGCTGGGAGGAGAGGCCTGGGGGCCCAGAGCTCCAGTGCAGGAAGAAGTTTGGGGCTCTGGATGTGGCGAATGGGACAGGAGCAGAGTCCACCACCAAGGGGACCCAGAGAGATGGTGGGAAAAAGGGGGTGAGGAAGTCGCAGAGGGGGAGCAGGGGGTTCCTGCTCTCCCAGTGCCCTGCAGGCCCGCAGCAGGGATCAGAGTCTCTACCCGCCCGGGAGGGCGAGTGGAGGGGCCTGGGTCAGGGGTCACCTCTCAGGCATGCAGCTGGATCCCCAGGGAGCCTGAGGAGCCTGGGAAAGAGACTGAGAAGGCCGCTCCCCTCCCCCTCCCCAGAGGCCACTGGGACTGGGAGCCTGGCTTCCTGTGTAGACAGCTCCTTGGTCCCTGGGGCTGGGGACGCCTTAACCCCTCTGCTGCTGGTTCAAGGAAGCAGAGAGCAGCACACATGTACACACATGCGCCTGCGGGCGAGACCCAAATGCTATGGCCTCGCAGGTGCAGGCCTCGCTCGTTCTCTGCCCTGCGCAGTCTGCCCAGACAGCCCAGAGCAGCGAGCATGCAGCGGGCAATGGGTTTCTGCCCTGGCATGGGAGGTGTGGCGTCAGCTCCCTCACTCCTGAGCGGTGAGGGGAAGGCAGGCAGACCTCAGGGCCAGTTCTCAGGAAAGTCCGGACACAGTGAACGTGGACGCCTGGGCTGAGGGGAGCTCAGCATGAAATCCAGCGAGCTTCGCATGTGTGTTTCTGGTTTTTAACCACATTATTGTTTTATTTTTTAAAAAATGATTTATTTATTTGAAGGACAGAGTTACAGAGAGAGAGAACAGGAGAGATGAGAGAGCTTCCATCTGCTGGTTTACTCCCTAGACGGCTGCAACGACCAGGGCTGGGCCAGGCTGAATCCAGGAGCCAGGGGCTTCTTCCAGGTCTCCTGCATGGGTGCAGGGGCCCAAGCAGTTGCGCCATCCTCCTGCTGCTTTCCCAGGTGCCTCAGCAGGGAGCAGCCGGGATGCCGGCGCTGCAGGCAGCGGCTTAACTCACTGTGCCACAGCCCAGCTCGGCACGTGTGCTTCTGCCTCTGTGTGTGAGTTTGGGGAGCAGCTAACCCTCTGGGCTACAGAGCGACCTCTAAAAAACACGAGGAGTTCAAAGCCGAGAGGGTCTGGTGCGGTAACAGCACAGAAAGGACATCTTTTGGCCCTTCATTCTGGGAGCCCCTGAGCTGGGCAACCCCAAGCCCCCAGACACTGTGTTCGGAAAATGGTGCAGTCCACCTGGCACCATCTAAGCCTCACTCGCCATCTTAGGCCTTGGCCCACAGGCTTAGGTCCTAAGCCCCACGGCCCAACCACAGGTGTCAGCTCCGCCCCCACCCCAATGGGATTCACAGCTCCCACCTTCCTGCCCGTCCCCCGACCCCACAAAGTTTTAAGAGGACCTGTTCCTGAACACGTATCTCTCTTTCTCTCATGCTCTCCTTCTCTCTCTTTCCTTTCTTCTCCCCTCCCCTCCGAACTGTCAAGTTTCCCTACCAATAAACCTTTTCCTCGCTCCGGTGTTAGGCGTGTCTTGTGGCGGCTTTATACACTGCACTTCTTCTCCCGCTGCTCCATAAACCACCAGAAGCCTTTGCTCTGCCACCCTGCACGCCCATGCCCAGCAGGGCACCTGCACACACTGGGCTGTGGTCAGCAGATGAGTGGCCCCGACTGCAGGATGGGATGTGGTTCTCCTTCCATTGTCTCCTGAAGAGCACTAGGCTAGAAGTCCGAGAAATCTGGCCTGGGTTCAAGTTCACTGTTACCAACCTTGAGGCTTTGAACAGGTCATATTGCCCCTCCAAGCCCCAGGTTCATTGATTCATACAATGGAGGTTAGAAATAAAACGTCTGGAGCCTGACATTGTGGCCCGATGGGTTGAGCCTCTGCCTGCAATGCCTGCCTCCCATATTGGGCACAGCTTCAAGTCTTGGCTACTCTGCTCCCAATCCGGCTTCCTGCTAATGCTCCCAAGTACTCTGGTTCCTTGTACCCATGTGGGAGACCTGGATGGAGTTCTTGGCTCCTGTTTTGGCCTGGCCCAGCCTTGACTGTGGCAACCATTTGGGGAGTGAACCAGAGGATGGAAACTCTCTGTCATTTTGTCTTCAAATAAATAAAAATAAAATCTTATTAAAAAAGAAATAAAATATCTGGAGTGGGTATTTGGTCTATCAGTTAAAATACTGCTTGTGATACTCTTATCCCATATGGGAGTACCTGGGTTTGTGCCCTGGCTGTTTCTGATACCAGCTTCTTGTTAATGTGAACCCTGGAAGGGAATAGATAATGGATCTTGGGCCCCTGCACCCACGTGGGAGACCAGGATGGAGTTCCAGGCTCATGGCTTCTGGCCGGCCCATTCCTGAGCATTGTGGCCACTTGGGAAGTGAACCAGTGGATGGAATATCTCTCTCTGTGTAACTCTACCTTTCAGATATAAATAAATAAATCTTTCTGTAAAGTGATATGCAGAACCAGTGAGCAGTGTGGCTGTCAGAGAGCACTGTACTGTCTTTCCCAGATCTAGCCCGGGGGAGCATACAGTGTGCTGGCTTGGGGTTGGGGCGGCTTGATGGAGGTGTGGCCTTGGGCAGGTCTCTTAATCTCTTCAAGCCTCAGTTTTCTCATCTGAAAAACGAGGATTTAATGATACGCCCAGCAGGGGCGCACCCCAGCAGGGGTGCACGCGAGTGTATGGGGCAGTCCTCACACCTCGCACGGTGCTTGGTGCAGGGCGCTCTGCCTAGCCAGTACTCCTCCTGCAGCTCCCCGCGCCACGTCTCCAGGGGCTTGCAGCACCTGCACCCGGATCCTCCCAGCTTCCTACTTTGGCCTCATTTGGACGGAAAGGCACTGCCTGCCTCACAGCCCTGAAAGGGACAGCAGGAGCGAGGGTTGTCAGGGGAGGCCAGAGCCGAGGGTGCTGAGGAGCGCCTGCGCAGCAGCCCGAGTGTGTGGATGCCGAGGGGGGCCAGAGGGCAGCCGCCACCCCTGCCCCCAGCTGCCGGGATGGAGATGGCGCAGGCTGCCAGGCCGGCCGCAGCAGTGCTGGGAGCTGCTTATCAGGTTAGAGTGGAGCCGCTGTCTCTGGCTGTCTCTGCACATTATCCGACCCATCCGTCCTGCTCTCCTGCGCGCCCTGCCTGCCCCCAGCTCTGCCTGCGCTAACTAGTTAATTGGATCTTGGCTAACCTGGTTATGGTCCAAAGTCCGCCAGCTCCTCTGCCTCCAGAAGCGGGATGGGGGGTGGGGGGAGGCAGGGCAGCCAGGCATGTGTGTGCAGGAGCGTGTGTGTGTGTGTGTGTGTGTGTGTGTGTAGGAGCCTGTCTTTGAGCTCTGCTTTCAGGCCTCCCCAGAACCCCGAACCCATGGAGACTGCCTGGAGAGGCCAGAGCTCTCTGGCCCACAGTGGGAGCTGGAGGGCGCTGAGTCATGTGAGCCTATGTCAAAGTCCACTCCTCCATGAAGGCAGTCAGCCAGCTTGGGCTGGGGTGCTGAGGTTCAGCTTCGGATTAAGAATTGCACCACTTGGGGCGGGCTCTGCTTGGGGCACCCACATTGCATATCAGAGTGCCTGGTTTCCAGCTTGCTGCCAATGCATCCTGGGAGGCGTCGGAGGATGGCCCAAGTGCTTGAGCCCCTGGCACATGCGTGGGAGACCCTGATTCAGTTCTGGGCTCCAGGCTTCAGCCTGGCCCAGACCTGGCTGATGCAGGCATTTGGGGAGAGACCCAGTGGCTGGAAGATTGTCGCTTTCTATCTGTTGCTCTGCCTTTCAAATAGTTTTACTTTTAAATCTTAAGACAGTTACACACACGTACCACCCCAAAGCTTGTGAGGCGCAAGAGAAACAACACTCACTTCCGTGCCCGGCGCTTAGTAGGTGCTGTGACTGCGCCCACCATCGCCCTCAGTCTCGGTGAGTTCCTGCCACTTCCAGGGGATGGGAGGGCTCTCGGGTGAGGGGCAGAGAGGCGTTCATTCACGGTTCCTGGTTCCTCGCAGGTGTTTCCTCTGAGGCACGGCTCCAATCTCCACAATTGTTCCTTATGCAAATATTATGCTAATGAGCACGTCAGCGCACCACTCTGCCCGGCTCCGGGAAGGTGAAGGGCGGGCTGGTTCCCCTGTTTCTCGACCAAGCCTGTCCCTTTCTTCCCTCAAGAGGAGCAAATCCTGATCCTCCTCCAACACCAGTCCTCAGCGCAGAGAGAGACCCGAGGTGTAGAGAGGAACAATGAAAGGCCCAGCCTTGGTGGGAGATGGACAGCTTCGTCACTGTCACAGCCATAATCATCACCCTCAAAAAAGCCTTTGCAAACGTCAGATTCTTCCCCACCCTGCGCGGACTCCTCTGCAATTACAGAGGCGCTCCCCCCGAAACCCCCCATTCCCCAGCCCCCACCCCCCACACACACCCCCGCCTTGGGGAGATGGAGCCAGGCTGGGGCCAGGGGAGGGAGGGGTGAGTAGGGACAGGAGAACTCACAGGCTCCAGATGCCAAGGAGCTTCTTCTTAGGGTTCTCCTTGAGGGCAGCGGCCCTGCTCACCCCTCCCCCAGCATCAAAGCTGCGGCGAATGCTGGCCTCACCGTGGAGTCAGGAAGCTGTGATCACGGCCATTCTTGCCCTGTTGTTCTTTTATTGCCGGCCTTGTTTGCTCAGCTATAAGATGGGTACCATAGTTTCGCCTGTCCAGGTTACTATAAAAACACAATCGTGCAGGTTCAATGAAAGGCGATTCTAACAGGGGATCGAACTGGTAGCCAGGGGAAGGAAGGCAATGCCTCCCCCAGGTCCTAGGCCCACATCAGCAGGGAGGTGAGGGAATGCCTGGCCCACCTTGCACCTGATCAATTCTGTGGACCAATGCAAAGAATAAAATCAAAGGACGCGTGCAGTCCCAACGAAGTGGGTTTGAGATGGGGGTCCCCGCTGAGCATGTCACCTGCCCTCTGGGCTGACATTGAAGCTCTCCTCTGGAGACTGTAAACACACATGGGGGCTGGGGGTCACAGACAGCGGCAGGTGCTGTGGGCACGGGCGCAGCAGCAGGCCGGGGATGTGCTGACGCTGCCTGTCCGGGTCTGGGCTGAAACACGCAGGCCTGTAGACAGCTCCCCTGGAGAACCCTCCTGCCCCTTCTTGTCCCCAAGAGACAGCACTGCACCCACCCCGAGGCAGGCCAGCCCCTGGGGACATTGTAGGTGCTCAACTACAGGATGGGCCTGGGGAGGGAACCCAGAGGATGCTACCAGATCAACCCAGACTGCAGGGAGCAGGCAGCCAGCAGTCGCCAGACAAGGGGGGCCACTCAGTTATGGTGGGGGTTGGGGTGGGGATCATGAAGAGAGAGATACTTCTTGCACCCTTTCTTTCCTCCCACTGGCCTTCTCCAGATCCAGAGGGCTGGGGCGCCTCCTGGTACCTGCCAGGGTCTCTGCATCCCATCCCCAATTAGGGCCTGGCCCCTCCCCTTCTCGCCTCCCTCCTGGAACCCCCACAGCCCTTTATCTGCACCTCCATTATGTCCTGATGCCTATCGGCATGGAGCCCAAATTAGAGCTCTTTCTGCCCAAGCCTTATCTCCTCCATGGGGTTCTCAGCTCCTCAGGGCAGGCTTCTCCTGCCGCTGCTGGATCCCTGGGGCTGGGGCAGAAGCCCGGGTCCAGTGAGGGAGGCTTAGGACGCACTTAAAATGGGGGGTAGTAGTGGAGAGGAGGCTGCGAGTGAGAGAGGGGGTGAGAAAAAAAGGAAGGAAAGAAGAGGGAGGCAGCCAGCTCAAAGAAGGGAGAGAGAGGGTGATCGGGAACGCAGCATGTCCCAGCCTCAAAGATGAGGTGGCCACGCCAAAGCCTGGTCCTCCCACCCCATGTCAGCTCCCCCTACCCTCCTCTCCCCTCCCGGGAGCCATCCACGGGGTAGGGGCCAGGCAGGAGCCAAGCCAAGCCAGGGAGCACGGCCAGGAAGGAGTCGGCAAAGCAGATGCCGCCCCTCTCCTGCTGCCTTGATTAGAGAAATTGAGATGTTAATAATATTCTGAGATGCAAGGTGCTAATTAAAGTTAATTACTGTTTCCTTGTGAAGTAACCTCTCCTCGTGTTTACCAGGAACAAGGCTGCCAGCCGCTCCCCTGGCTCGTGCCAATCACGATGCCCGCTGCTTGGTGTACCCCACACCCTCACAGGTGCCCTCGGCTGCCCCAGCCGAGCCAAGCCGAGCCCAAGCAGGCACTAGGATGTGAAGTTCCCAGGCCCTGCCTATTGGCAGAGAACCAGGCCATCCCTGCCAAGCAGCACGGGCACACAGGAGCATGAATGACCGCGGGGGCCTGGGAACACCCCTGTCCTCAGTCTCCTCCCCTCCTGCAGGCTTGCCCTGTCCTTTCCTGCTCCTTGACCTGGAGCTAGTTACATGACCTCTTTTTTTTTTTTTTTTTTTTTTGACAGGCAGAGTGGACAGTGAGAGAGAGAGACAGAGAGAAAGGTCTTTCTTTTTCCATTGGTTCACCCCCCAATGGCCACTGCAGCTGGCACGCTGCAGCCGGCGCACTGCGCTGATCTGAAGCCAAGAGCCAGGTGCCTCTCCTGGTCTCCCATGCGGGTGCAGGGCCCAAGGACCTGGGCCATCCTCTACTGCACTCCGGGGCCACAGCAGAGAACTGGCCTGGAAGAGAAGCAACCTGGACAGAATCCGGCGCCCCGACCAGGACTAGAACCCGGGGTGCCAGCGCCTCAGGTGGAGGATTAGCCTATTGAGCTGCGGTGCTGGCCAACATGACCCCTTAAAATCTCAGTTTTCTCATCTGTCAATGGGGCTGGTAATTTCTACCCTGTATTGTTGTGAGCATCAAATGAGACTGCCTGTAAAATGCTTACTGCAACCACAAAGCTGCAACTTAACAAGCTCTCAATTAAAGTTAACTGTGATTATTGTCCTCTGTTAATAATCACTGCCCTCCCCAGTCCCTCTCCCGTGCCTTCGCCCTGCAGGACCAGGGTGGATCCACTGAGCACTTCCATGCCCTTGACACACACGGGACGAACTCAGGCACGCTGCTCACATTGGTGCACACAGGCACCCTGGGGAGGGCCTCTCCCTCCCTGGCACCCTGACACATCCACTCCTGGCGGCCTCACCCAGAGAAGTAGGGAGGAAGCTGACAACACTCTCCCAGGGACAGACTTCTGCACAGTGAGAGAGAGAGAGAGAGAGAGAGAGAGAGAGAGTGCATGCACTGTGTGAGTCTCCACTCTTGTGTTCTAGGCCTCACAGGGCTTTGGGGGAGAGACCATCCCCTTGGGAGCCAAGTCAAGTCAGGCTGCCATGACAACCAAGCAGGTGCACACCTCCAATTTCCCCTCCTCCCTATCCCTGCACACACGGCCACTCTGGCCAATTCTGGGGGAGACACCACCTCTCTGATGGGAATCTCCCCATCCCTTGCCTGCCTTCTCAGGAAGCCCCTGGGCTGGGGAGATGGCCAAGGGACAAGGCAGAGCCCACATGAAGAAATTACTCCCTCAAACTCATTTTGCCCTGGGGGCTTACTGCTAATGAGTGAATATCAGGGTTACTTTGACTGGGGCGGATGGATGCTTGCAAAAGGGCCTCCTTGGGTACAGCGTGGGCAATCAAAGGGTCAGGGACCCCTGCTGCCTTCCCACACCTTCCCCAGCTGGAGGACGATTCTTGTTTCGTTTGTTCTCTAAGGCAGCACTGGCCACCCCAGCCTGGGGCACTTCCTGTGGATGGGCACTTGGGCCAGGCATCCCGCCCAGATTTGGGGTGATAGTGGGTTGGACGAACACTGATGACAGCAACAGTCCCTAGGAAACACCTATGGCTTGGATGCTGCTGGTGCAGCCTGGTCCCCACGCTCTGACCCAAGACCCGGTCCTTAACTCCCTTTCCCAAGTGGATGCCTCTACCCCCTCATGCCTCCTGGATCTAGCTTCACTGCATCTGTCGCAGGTCCCTCCGTGTCCCTAGCTCTTCCCGGGTATCTCCCCCTACCTTCCAACACTGCCCCCCACCTTGGCCCCACTACAGTCCTTCCCGCCCACATCCTAAAGTAACCGAGGCTCCTCTCCCTCTTCTTCCCTTTCTTTGCTCTGCACAGAATTCCCAAGCAGATTCCCCTCCTTGGCTCGTTCAGCAGACTTTATTAGTGGTATAAGGTACACAAGATTCGTGCCTCCTGCAGGCTTTGATTCTGGTGGGAAGAGACAGAAATTGAACAAGTAAATAAAAAAAATAAAACGACAGATTGAGATAAGGTCAAGAAGAAAGACAGAAGGGCGCCTGGGTCACAGACGAAATGGGAAGCCTTCTACTCCCCTACTCGGATGTGGACGCAGCCCACAGGGGCCTCCAGGAGGCAGTGCTCTGCGGAGGCGGGCCTGGGCCTCGGCGGGAAGCACTGGGTCAGCAGGCGCGCGGCCCCAGCTGCAGTTGTCCTGGTCCCACCTGCTCAGAGGGTCACCTTCCTCCAAAGGCAGTGGACACAGGGCATCCAGCCAGGGAGACTACGACCCCCTGCCTCCCACCTCCCACCTCCACCTCTGTTCCTGGGATCTCCTGGTACTGCTGATGGGACCAGCGGTAAGGGCACCAACCCTTGTGGAACCTAAACGGAGCCTAAAAGCCTTGAAACCACCGCAGTTGTGACAAATAAAAGCCAGGGCCTGTGTCTGGCCCGGTGGTTAAGATGCTGGGCCGGACACGCACGTTCCACGTCAGCCGGCTTGGATTCCATTCCTGGCTCCGCTCCCAACAAGGACTGGCAGCAGTGATGGCCAGTGTAGGCTGCTGCGGGCGTCGGAGGAGTGAACCAGAGGATGGGGACGCTATCTTGCTCTATCCGCCTCTCAAATAACAGAACCAAAAATCAGATGCGTATGCGTCGCTGGGAGGGTTCTGGAGGGATCCTCGCCAGGAAGCGGCTCATGGGGTTAGCTTTTTTGGGCGTGGTGCTTTGAGGGTTGAGCGTGCAGAGGGCACTGGGCACGTGGAACAGCGCCAAGCCACGTGGAGACAGGCGCACTCACAAACACAGCTCAGGGACTTTGCCCTTCCCAGCGCTGCAGCCCCATGAAATATTTAGGTTTCTGGACGCTGCTCACCCCGAACTGTCCCCCTCAGCAAGTATACTTCCCCTACATCATTTATGGCTGTCCCCTTTCCTCCCCACTGAGGCCTGCAGAGAAGGGAAAAACAGACTGTAGGCTGGAGGACTCTGGGCAGGGGGCAGGATGAGCCCACCCTCCCCCCAGCACGGGAGCCTGGGGAGCAGGGCAAGGGGATGAAGGGAGGAACAGGGATGGGGAAGCAGCCGAGGAGGAGGGGTTTGGAGATGTCCTGGCTCCCGGAGAGAGTAAAGGGGCCCAGGGTGATGATAAAAGCTGCCATTTGTTGGGCCTTTAAAATTTACTGTGCTGGGGCTGCCTCTTGGGGTGCCCACATTCCATTGTGGAATGCTGATTGAGTCCTGGCATCTCCGCTTCTGATCCGGCTTCCTGCTAAGCCTTCTTGGAGGCAGTGGGTGACAGCTGAGGCTTTTGGGCCTCTGCCCCCCCCGCCCCGGGTGTGGGAGACCCAGATGGAGTTCTGGGCTCCTTTGGCTCGGCCCAGCCCAAATCCCAAAGGCTGTTTCAGGCATTTGAGTAGTAAACCAGCAAACAGGAAGTTTCTCTCTCTCTTCTCCCCCCAGATGCCACCCCCCATTTCCCCCTCCTTCTCTTTCAAGTATATGAAAAAAATAAACATTAAAAAATGTCCTTAACAATTGTGTGCTAAGCTATTTAGATACACTTTCATCTCCCTGGCAAAGGTGGGATTATACCCAATACATAGCTAAAGAAACTGATGCAAAGCACCCCAAGAGGCAAAAAGGCATGGGGACTGTGATGAAGGGGTACATGGACGTGTGTCTGTCTGTCCCATCCCTCCAATCCACAAGGACGAGGCTCCTCTCGGTTCAGGCCCTTTCCCCTGCCTCTCCTCCGCTCCCCAGTGGGCCAGCCCCACCAGCACTCCTAGATACTTAGCTGTGCATTAGGCTGCGTATTAGACACACATTGGTGGCCCGAAGTTGGGAGATCCTGAGAGGATCGAGAGTGCAGGAGAGAATGGGAATGAGAGCTACACACACACACAGAGGCTCATATGGGGGCCAGGGTAGAGAGCAGGTGTGAAAGAGGGGCAGTAGTGACAGCTGGGGCAGTGTTAGAGTGACCCACAGCCTGAACACTCACAGCCCTCCTCCTCCACTGTGTAGAATCAGTGCAAGGTGGTAGAAGGAACTCCCATGCCCACCCCCACCCCGCTGGGTCTCCACCCACCCTTCCCCCTCTACCCCTGCCTCTCTCTCCCCTCCCCCATGTCTTCTCAGGAACAATCCTAATTAGACTAAGTGACTAAGAGGTGGTTTCAGCCTGAACAGCCAATTAGGCCAGGAAGAAGAGAGAGTATCTCCCCCAAGCCTCCTCGCCAGGCCTACCCCCCTCATCAGCCTGTCACCCAGACCAAGACTTCTTATCCCAAGGACTCCCAGCTGTCACTCAACTTCCCCCGTCCTCTCCTCCCTCACTGCAGACGGTGTCCCAGTGCCCCCAGCCCACTGCTGACTCCCCACCCTGAACCCCCATCCTCAAGGCCCCGTTCCGGCCTCATCTTCATGGCAGGGGCCTCCTTGGGAGGCCATCTTTCCAAGTCTCTTTATTGCCAAGGTCTCCAGCCCCCCTTCTTCCTCTGGCACTTATTTCTAACATCCATGGACCAGGCCTACTGGTTGCCATGGAGACGCAGTGTGCAGCTGGATGGAGCCTGTGAGAGGAGCTGTGTGCTGCGCTCTGCAGCAGGGGCGGGTGGCTGTGCGTGGAATGTATCCATGTGCGGGGACGCATCCTTCCAGCGGGGGTGGGATGGGGATCGGGGCTGCCTCCCTGAAGCGAGACCCAGCCAAGGGGGAGCCCCTAAATCCTGTGGCCATCTTCCTTTGGGGGTACACCCTCCTCCTCGGCCTCTGCGGGTCAGACTGAAATTCTGTTCAATCCAGGCTCTGGGTCAGCAGAATCTGGGGCAGGGGGGCTTCTGCCTGCGCCTCCTGCCCAGGGAGGAGACTGGAAGCCCCCGGGGAAGGAACAGGAGTGGGCAGAGACCAGAAAGGTCCAGGAACTGGGGGGTGGGGTGGGGCCGGGGAACAGCTGGAATGCAGATCAAGCTGGGCAGATGCGCTGACAAGAGGCCAACAAGTCCCCAGACCAGTCCCGGGGGTGGGGGCTGTGAGGCAGGCTGCCCCGCCTGCCATCCCCTTCTGCAGATGCAGACTGTTACAAGTGTGAGGCACAGCGGCCCTCAGGAAGCTTAGCCTCCCCTCTCCTCCCCTCCCCGACTCAGGAAGTCTCGGTCTCCCACCTCATGGCCTTTGCAGCTGCAACTGGTGTGGCTGGAATGCTCTCCCCGAGCTCAGCACCTTCAGCTTTCCCGGCCAGGCTGAGCCCAGCAGCCCCTTCCCCTGCCCATCCCCCCCCCCCCCCCAGCCTCCTCCTTGTCCCATTGTTAATTTCCTGCACACACTTCAACACAATCTACAATTATCTCATTTGTTTGTTTATTGTCTGTCTGCTCCACTGGAATGCGAGTTCCAGGCAAGAGTAGAGACCGTGCCTCTTACTCAGGGCTGCCTGGCACAGGGCCTGCCTCACGGTAGAAGTTAAATGTGTGTTCAACAAAAGACTGGGCAAATTATTTCACTTAAGTGCCACAACCATCCTTGTTATCATCCCCATTTTCCATATGGTAACACTGAGGCCTAGTCACCTCCCCAAGGTAGGCCCACAGGAAGTGGTATGGCCTGATATTTTTTTTTTATTTTTTATTTTTATTTTTTGACAGGCAGAGTGGACAGTGAGAGAGAGAGACAGAGAGAAAGGTCTTCCTTTGCCGCTGGTTCACCCTCCAATGGCCGCCGCGGCCGGCGCGCTGCGGCCGGCGCACCGCGCTGATCCGATGGCAGGAGCCAGGAGCCAGGTGCTTTTCCTGGTCTCCCATGGGGTGCAGGGCCCCAGCACCTGGGCCATCCTCCACTGCACTCCCTGGCCACAGCAGAGGGCTGGCCTGGAAGAGGGGCAACCGGGACAGAATCCGGCGCCCCGACCGGGACTAGAACCCGGTGTGCCGGCGCCGCTAGGCGGAGGATTAGCCTAGTGAGCCGCGGCGCCGGCCTGGCCTGATATTTTTAACACAGGTCTGTTTGACTCCAGGTGTGCTGGAGGGGTTGCACCCGGTTCCTCGCCCTGCCTGTCTGCCTGTGTCTCCACTCCTAACACAGGCACCCCCCGCAGTAACGTGGGGCAGGGGACAGAGCTGGTAAGGGGTGACTTAGGGGCACCTTCAGTGGCAATCCCTCCAACTCCGCTCACCTCTGCAGGTTGACCAGTAGGTCATTCTAGTTCCGCCCCTTCCTTTCCCCTTCTTGTCCCTGAGCCACCTCCCCTTTTTCTCCTCTGCTTGCAGACCCTCTCTTCCCCCACCCCCCAGCACCCACGACTCCCTCTGCCAGCACAGCTAACCCAGTCCTTGGGGAGCTGCCCCCCACCGCACCTTGAGACTCAGCGGTGGCGCCACCCCTTCCGGGAAGGCTTCCGGGCTCTGGAGGACTTGGCCTTTGCAGCAACTTCCTGCTAGAGACAGGGCTGAACACAGATGTGCTCATTGTTTACCTGTCTGCCTTTCCCATAGAGACCGTGCGCGTCATTCCTGGGACGTCCTAGTGAGTGCCCTGTGCTGGCCGGGCATGAGGGAGCGGCTCAGGAAATGTTTGCGCCATGAGTAAAGCAACGGGGGCTGGACTCTGGTACCCAACGGGCCGCTCCCATCTCCCCCCACCCCGACTCCGCGGCTGGATACCTCTTCCTGGGCCAGGCCCTACCGGAGGCGCTCCTCAATCCCACTGTCCAGTCAAGTCAGGGGTGGGACAACAGGAGACCCTCCCACTGAGTGAGCGCCTCCCCCATGGAGCAGGCGAGGCCTCAAGGTTGGGGCGGTCACCAGCACCAGTGCCAGGGGAGGGGTTTTGATTCCGCAGCGGGAGAAGGGGGTCGTGGGGGCGCGGGGTTGCAGACGGAGCCTGGGAGCTGACCTAGCCTTTGAGGGTTGCAAGGAAGTGAGTGGGGAGTCCTTGCTCTTCCCCTCCACTCCTTCGTCATCCCAGCAACAACCGCGTGGTGTTTTCTTCTTTGCCCTTCTCACGCCCCGGTGCAGACCCAACCACGCGTACCCCCAAAAGAGCCGGGGACCTGAGGGGGTGGGCTCCAGGCCCCGCGATGCCCCATGGCCGGGATGGACGAAGGGGTGCCAGCGACCCCCGCCATCCCTGCAGCCGATCAGGGTTTACATGGAAGCTCATCCGGGATTAGTCCCTGCGCTTGGCTAATCCCAGCGGCTGGGCCGACCCTGGGGCCCAGCAAAGAGGCCACGCTGAGCGGGCGGAAGCGCGAGTGTCCGCGCGGGGTAGGGGGGCACCCGGAGGCAGGGCCGGGAACCGGCTGATCCGGTCTCTGTTCTCCGACTGGTGCGGAGCCGGTGTTTACCCCGGAGCCAGACCGAGGAAGCCAGCGTTGCGTGAGCCCGGAAAGGGGGCTGGGGCGCGGGCGCCCTTGAAGACTCGGGCTGAGACCCTGCCCAGCTCCCCTGCACCTCAACTCTCTGGCTGTCCTGGTTTCTGGGTGTGGGAGAACGAGACAGACAGATGCCTCCCGCCCCATTCCCCACCGAGTTCTGCAATTCAGAGTAGTTGCCAAAGGCACGGGGAGCGAGAACCCCTACCTCCCCACCCCGGGAAGCCCAGCAGGGGCCAGCGCCCGCCGGCCCATCCTCAGGCTGGAGCGCTGCGGGAAGAAAGCGGCGCAGCCCGCTCTCTGCTGCCCTGGCCTGCACCTGAGCCGTGGGGCAGGGTGTGAGAGCACGTGGGGACCGCCTGCCCGTGGGGCGGGGCGGGCTGGGCCAGCACGTGGGGGCCGCCGTGGAGCAGCCGGCCGCTGCGGTGTGAAGTCTGGCCCCTCTCCCCTTCGCGCCCCCCCCAGCCATCTCCAGTCTTGGCTCCCACTCTAACCGGGACGCAGACCGGAGAGCCTGCAAGAAGCGGAATGGGGTCCGGTTTTCACACTTTTATTGTAAAGCTCGGGGGATAATTACACGGGTCTTTCATTGACAGCTCAGCAAACAAACCGGAAACGAACCGAACCGGAGGGGGAGGGGCGGTGCCTGCGCATGCTCGCGGCGGGGGGGAGGGGAGGGCGGTCGGAGAAAGAGAAAGACGGAAAGAGACAGAAATCATTACAAATCAACGGGATTGTGCTCGCAGCGCCGGGGACGGGGTGGAGTGGGGGTGGGGCGGGGGCCCTTCCCGGGAGGAGCGAGGCGTTGGGAAGTGGCACGAACCGAGAAACACAACCCCACGAGGGCACCCGACGCGCCCCCAACCCCCCTCCCCGACCCCCAACGAGAGAGACACGGCCCCCCTCCCCACTCCAACACCCCTAGGAGACGCAGTCTCCCTTCCCCACGGGCACACACACCCGCCCCGGAAACCCACGGGCGAGACACAGTCCCCCCCTCCCAGAGAAGTCCCGCACGGAGACGCCGCCTAAGAGACTTTCTCACGGCCACACCAGCGCTCCCCATACCCGGAGACCATCCCTCCCGCCCCCCCAGGGCAGAAATGGCTCCAGAGGCCCGGCCCTGGGGGTGGGGGGGCGGGTGAGAGAGAGAGGGGACCCCAGAGCCCCTAGGAGAAAAAGACAACTCAGAAATGCCCAGCCTCACCCCCAAGTGCTGCGGGGCAGGGGCACCCCCACAGGAGGGACAGGGGGAGGGCCAGAACACCCCTTCCCAGGAAGGGGCAGGGCCCCCGGGGGCCAACTTGCCTTAAGTGCTCCCAAGGACCATGGGAGGAAACAGGCTCCCCAGAGAGCCTGAGTAGGGAGGGGAGAGCTCCCGTGGTCCCCAGCGGGAGTACAAGTTCCCCAGAGGCTCCTACAATGGGAGCCCCAGAGGTGAGGGATACCCAGAGACCTCCCCGACACATGCTTTAGGGACCCTAGAAGAGAAATGTCCCCAGATGCCCTCCCCCTACCAGGAGACGTGCCCTGAAGTAGGGGGCTGGGGACCCACAGGTCCCCTGGAGGAAGACACTGACTAGGTCAGGCTGGGCTTGAGGGGGTCTCCTCTGGCCAAATGTCGCCTATCGGTACATAAAACTGCACGCGACTCAGGCAACAGGGAGGGCTTCGCAGACCCAGGAGCCAGCAGGGACCCAGGACCCAGGGCTGTCACCCCTCCCCTGCCCACCTTTGGTTTCACCTCTTGAGTGCCCAGGTGGTGAGAGACTGAGCACCCAACCCCAACCAGGAGGCCGGAGGGGCCCTGCCTCTGCCGGTGGGAAGAAGGGCTTGCTCCAGAGCCCTCCCCAAGGAGGCTGGGCCACTCCCTGCCTTCTGGCTTCTCCATTGTGCAAAATGCTCCTCTGGCCTCCCTCTCGGTGCTGGGGGTGTCCGTGGCCAGGGTGCAGGACCCAGGCCATCGGGGGCTTCTGGCAGAAGTCCACGGACACCAGGGTCTAGACAACCCTCTCCACCAAGCACGTGCGGGCCTCCTACACCCTTCTTGCCCCAGTGAGGACTGCCAGGACGCACGACAGCCGTGGAGGCCGCTGCCCCACCAGCTGGGCACCTCAGGCTACCACTCTACCACTATTGCACCTGCCCCGTTTGTGCAGGGGGAAGGGGCTGTCTCCCAAACAAGCCCCCAGCCCACTTCCTGGGCCTCCCCCAGGGAAAGGAGCCTTTGGCCAACCCCAAGACCTGGCTGCTGCCACCCCAGCACACCGCACCTCCTGCCCTCCACGGAAGGGCTGTGTCTGCAGGGGCTGCCAGACCAACAACACTCTCCTTCCTAGCGAAACTGCTACCCCAAGTCAACTTAGGGGTAAGGGGCAAAGAACAGGGTTATTCTTCAGCCCCCTGGCTTTTCTGGGGTGGGGTTGGTGTCTCTGGGGTTACAGGAGTCAAGTCCCCAGCAGCACAGCTCCCAAAGGCACTGGATGACCCAGCAGCCTGTACCCACCCCTCCCACACTTGGGCTACCCCACCCCCACCCCAAGCTTAGCCGAAGTCAAGCGAGGACCATACCCTGAGTCTCCAGCCTCCCAGCCCGGGCCCCTGGGGACTGGAGAGGTATGGGCCAAGGCAGTGGGGGTCTCTGGAAGGAAGAAGGGCTGAGGCTTTGAGACGGGGGCTCTGTAGGACACCCCTCACACCCTGGCCCCCTGAGGTGAAGCAAAGGCCGCACCTCATCATGGCTGACTGGGCTTCTCTGCCCCCCAATTTCTCCACCCCCTCCCCCACGGGATCCCTGACCCTGGCAAAGGGAAGCCCAGCTGGAAGAAGGGGGCCTGGAATGTGGGGCGCCCTGAGGCAGCCCTTCCCACCCCCTGAGGTCAAGGCAATGGTGGTTTTACAGGCTGACGGGTCAGTCATGGCAGGGGCTGGGGGCTGGGGCAGGGAGGGGGAGGGTGCAGGCCCCCATACTGGGGACAGCAGCCGGCCACCCCCTGAGCAAACCTTCCTGCTCCCAACTCACCCAACCAGGCCCGAGGCACAGTCATCCCACCCCTGTCCAGCTGCCCCCCACAGCCTCAGGGCCCCTCTGACGCTCATCGGGATGTGGGAGGCCAGCCTGAGCAGGGATCCCCCCCCAGGGCACAGCGCAACAGTTCCAAAAAAATATAGATTTGTATTTCTTTAAAAAAAATTAAATAAAAGCCCAGCTCTGCTGATAGGCGAATGTTACCCCTGTCCCCGCCCCCACCCACCCGTTGTTTCCCCGGCCTGCGCCCCCCATCCCACCACGGCCCCAGGGGTATTTACAACATGGAACAATCGAGGCCTGGGGTGGGGGGCACTGCAGCAGGGAGGAAGGGGCACAGGGCAGGTCCCCCCCAGAGGGGTCCCCCAAGACAACACAACATCAACGAGAAAAGTTGCAAATCAGGCAGAAATGGGGACATCATTCCAAGGTCCTTATATACAGACACTGCATGACCAGCAGGGGAAGGGGGCCCAGGGGGCCCAGCCAGGGCGCCGGTGGGCAGGCGGGCCAGCCCAGGGACAGCACTGGGCACCAAGGCCCGTGCCTCACCCCTCCCCAGCCCCCACCCCACCTTTGGTAACAAAAGCCCTTCAGGGAGCCCCTGGCAGTCCAGAGTGTTTCTCTGGGAGTCCTCAGGGAGAGGGGCTCCCCAGCTCAGCCCTGCCTCAGGGCTAAACCACAGGGCCTGCTGTCCCCGCCCTGGTCGGCCATGCGGGAAGTGAGTTACAAGTGTGCCGCCCGCCCTTGACTTGCCATCTGCCCAAAGTGAGGGGGTGCTCCCAGGACGAGGGGAGGGAGCCGTCACTGCAGAGGAGCCCTGCTGGGCATGAGCTGGGGGAGCCCCACAGGAGAGAAGAAGGGGCTCCGGGGAGTTGGGGGGTGGGAGTAGGGGAGAGGACCTGGACCCTGTGTAGGGGAAGGGCCAACATGGTCACGAGGCCAGGACTGGCCCCCCGACTCAGGGCCCTGGCTGTGAAGTCCACGCTGGAGGGTGTGGAAGGGGCCTGGCCGGGGGCTGCCCTGTGGCCTGGGGCAGGGCGGGGTGGGGTGGGTGGGGGGCTCACAGGTAGATCTCGCGCTTGGCCGTCGGGGCGGACGCCGGCGTGGCTGCGGGCGGGAAGTCCGAGGTTTGGGTCAGGGGGATTTCCTCCAAGGCGGCCGAGTCCTTGCAGGAATCATGGCTACTGTGGGAGAAGGCACTGTAGGAGGGCAGCAGGCGCACGGGGGCCGTTTTGGTGTTCCGGTCTTCCGGGGGGCTGGGGCTGCCGGCGCCCGCAGGCTCCTGCCCCCCTCGGTCCTGGTAAGGCACGAAGGTGGAGAGTTTGAGGGCGCTGCTCTTGGTCCGGCGGCTAGGAGACGACTGGCCGGGCATCCAGCACGTGTCGGAATGGCCAAACTCACTGCACTCCCGGGTACACGTGCCCGTCATGGCAACATCAGGCAAAGGACGGAGGTCTGCAGAACACAGCAGGAGGCGCGGTCATCAGGCATGGGGTGGCCTTGGCAAACTCTGCTCCACAATCTCCCACCAGCACCTACACCCTAGGGTGCGCGCCCCTTCCGGCCAGGCCCACCGTGTGAGTGTATACACACTCTCTCTCATACATATACGAACACATCCCTTCCAGCCTTGCCTACCCTCCAGCGCTCCTCACACTCCCACCATATCTGCCCTCAGACAGGTGCGCACACACACACACACACACGCACCTCAGCCTCACACTGCTGTCCACCTGCAGACAGGCTCCAGCCTGGGGCTCCATCCTCACGCAGGGTGGCGGGAAACCCCACCCTCATTTAAGGATATAAGCTCTCCCTCTCTCTCTTGCTCTCTCCCTTATGCCCCCTCTGATAGGTATGGGCACAACCATCTCCTGGACTGGGCACCTGTGTCTTCAGATACAGATGGGCGGGCACACACCTTCCTGTGAACCCCTCAAGTGTCCCATGCCCCGGCCGGTCCTGGGACCCCCACCCCATCCTGCCATAAGGGGAAGGGACAAGTTTCTATGTGGGGGTTCACCCACAAGCACATCCATGCAGCCCTTCCCACCTCTCTGGCCCCTACACCCGCCACCACCCCTGGCCTTGCCCCAGCTCCCTGCCCAGAACACCCATGGGAACACGAGTTGGCCGCCTGACAGCAGTAGCCGGTGTGGTTGCTGGGCAGCAAGGGTCTCCATGGGAACAGCTGGGCCATGAGTACTTCCTGTCACAGCAGCCCCTGTCCCGCCCTCGCTTGGGGACAGCACCAGGCGGTGACCCCCCTCGGGGAAATGACAGAGCAGTGCTGCCTGGGGACAGGAGCTCCCCAGGCACAGCCCGGGCTGGCTTGGCCTCCTGCCCGCGCAAGGTAGGGTACGGAGGGCTTTATCATTAAGCTTCCGAGTGCCAAGGTTCTTCACTCAGGGCAAAGCTGGGGGACCCAGAGTGGCTCAGAGCACTGGGTGGGGGGCAGACGGCTGGGTGCTGGGCCGAGTCCCACAGACCCCAGACCCCAGAGCAGCTCCCACATACCTGGCACTGCGCCTCAGGGCCTGCTCCGGCCGGCCGGCTCTGCGCGGGCACAAAAAGGACGAGACGGGCGTGAGATGGCGCATGGAGGGCGGGGTGGCTGTGGAGGGCCCACCAAGACCTGGGGCCCGGGGGCTTGGACAGGGCCCTTGGCCTGACGCCTGAGGTTCTGTCGTGGGGAGGGGAAACTTGGAACTAGGGAATGGGGCGACGCCCCCTTAGTCTTTCCGTCTCAAGGGCCCACTTAGGTTCCCTGCCACAGGCAGCCATGGACGCCTTTACCCACACACACACGTGCACAGCACACGCTCCACACACATGCATTCCAACAGCACGCCTTGCCATCCTCTCCCACGCTGCCCTCCGCTCCGGCCACCAGCCTCTGCCCCTCAGCAGCCAGGCCTCTGCCCTGCAGGCCTGTCTACCGCCCCTCCCAAGCCACCCACTCCAATCTCCTAGGTCCACTCTGTTCTCAAGGCCCTTCTGTCCGCCTTCTCCAGGGGCCTGGCGATGAGCCCTGTGTGCTCAGGGTCCTGGTTCCCAGGGAGGCAGCGTGACACACTGCAGAGCGTCAGGACGCTGGGGTCAGAGAAGCCCGGTGTCCTTGTCTCCCCGGCCTGTCGCTTCCTACACGTGTGACTTTGGGCGAATGACCTAAGCTCTTTGAGCCTCCATGTCCCCCGCGGTAAAGTGGGCACGACGCCGTTCTTGGATCAGAGGGTGGCCACGAGGAGGACGTGTGTGTAGACTGGGATTCCCCCAGCACAGAGATCGCCGTGAATGCACAACTCCCCAGACGAAGGGTGTTTGCAAAGCCTGGGAACCATCTCAGGCCCCTACCCCTTCCCAGGTGCCTCGGGCTGGCAGACGCCCCTCACCGTTCTCGGGGTGCTCCATCTCCCCTATGCTGCCGTCGGGGGTGGTGCGCTCGTAGTGGTCCTCAGGCAGGGCCAGGGGGCCGAGGCGGGGCCCTGAGGATGACTTGCTGGACGGCGTCTCCGACTCCTCCAGGCCACTGTCGTAGTAACTGTGCTGAGACGGGTCCTGCAGCTCCTGGGCCTGGCTGGTGGCTGAGAAGGTGACTCGGCGGTGAGGTAACTGCAGGGAGACACAGTGTGACCATGGCTGGCCAGCCCACCCCGCAGCACCCGCCCCACCCAGGCCTCAGCATCGACCAGGAGGAGGCCCAGCCTGTTAGCATGACAGCGCCCCCCCCCCCAGCCCCCGAGAAAGCTCAGGCCCCTTCACTCGAGGAAAGCGCCCAACCCAGCCTGGTCCGCACACGCCAAGTCCCCACGCAGCGCAGGCCCCACCCAGTGTTACGATAGCCCCTGGCGGCCCCAAGAGCCGGCATCCAGTACCAACCACGGGTTACAGCCCCGCCAGGCCCAGCTCCCCTCGGACAGCTCCTAACACAGCGCAGAGCCCGACACCACAGGAGCACAAGGCCGGCCAACTGCCCCCATTCCAGCAGGGCCTCCAGGTTACGGAAGGGCTTTCCTAAAAGCAGTACAGACCTAACTCTGCAACAGCTCAGCAGGGACACAGCAGTGCCCTGAGCTCCAGACGACATCCGGCATCCGGCATCCAGCATCCGGCAGACGGCAGCTCCTCACCTGTCTCACTGCTCTGCGACTTCCCAGAGCCTCCATCCACACAGCTGCTAGCCTCTTCCCCAGCCTCTGAGCCTCATCCCCCTGCTTGGCAGCACTGCGGGCAGCCTCGGGACTCCCCACTGAGCCCCCTCCCGGCTCAGCCCCCCATGGCTCTCCAGAAAGTGTTCCCAGTGGAGAAAGGTGGGCAGGAAGGAGGGGAGGGCGCCTGGAGGTGGGGGCAACAGATCAATGCAAAGTCCCCAGCCCTCCAGAGCAGGACCGACATCACCTGCAGAGGGTAGGGCCCGGTGCCTGGGGGTGGGACATGGGATCAGGAACACTGGCTTCCAACCGAAATAAGAAGGGGGCTGGGGTGGGGGGAGCCGTGGCTAGGTGGAGCCAACTTGGGATCTGGGAGGCAGACAGGTGACAGGCTGCTTGCTCCCAGCCAGCGACCTTTCTGCCTGCCTGCCACGGGTTAACGATCAGCCCAGAAACCTGGCAACCTCAGCTTGGCACTTGGCACACCCAGCCTGCCACCCAAACACCCACCTGGGACTGCCAATGGTTTTCTTGCCAAGCCAGAAATTAGGAGTGTGGAGAGCTCAGGGGTGCAGCGGCCAGGCCCAAGGAGTGCTGATGGGTCTCCATGCACTTTCTGGTCCTTTAAGACCTTGGCAGGCTTTGTCTTTGGAGATGGCTGGGGGAGCGGCCTTCTCCTGATGCTCCCACACAGTCCCCACTCCCCACCAGAAAGCTGGAGTGAGGGAGGCCGACAGCCAAGACAGCTTCCCCACCTCGTCTTCATGGGATCCATGCTGTGATGCCAACACTGAAGAGTCTGGGTGATGACAGGGCTCCCCAAAGCGACCTGCACATTCTACCCGGCACAGGGGCCAGTGAGCTCGGGGAGGGGTGTGAAAGGCACAGGGCGCTGTGGCCTTGGTGCCTTCTTTCCAGTTTTAAGACACTGGCCAGCAGGCCCCGACCCCTGCAGAACCCTGCCTACAAGACAAATACCTCAGCGTCCTCCTTCCCTGTGATGCTTCTCTGTAAACTGGGGTATAGGCTTATGCTCAAGACTTGGTACTCCCTGTAATTCTATGACTGTCCCACCTTTGAAGCCCAGATCACAAATCTCTCTCCCACTCTAGTCTGCCAGTTCTAGACACTTGCTAAATATTTGCAATTGGCAGTCAGATTCATATGTCTCAAACCAAATTCTCCTTCTATCAGCTTCTGCTTGGGCAATGATTTCATCACTGTCCCCATCACCCACACTCAGAGGGCTGATGCCCACCTGGGAATCCAGATAGCTCACCCCTCATTCCCCATCTCTATCCACATCCAATTATCTCTTGAGTCCTATGGGTCCTTTCTCCCCACACTCAGCCAAATCTGCCCACCCATCACCCCATGGGCACTATAGTAGCCCAAACCTTAGAGGGTCAAGCCTGTACCTTCACCTCTGGCCCCTTTGAAGTCCACTATACATGCCAGTGAACTTGCTAAAACTCAACTCACCTAAAACAAAACAAAACAAAACAAAACAAAACCTAAATGCATGCATGTTCAGGGACTCCCATTTCCTCTGGTGGTGTGTGTGGGGGAGACTTTTAGAAAGGCACTCATGCCATCTGCAACCTGCAGCTCTTCCAGTCCCGCCCCCCACTGCCCTCTGTACCCTTTAATCTGGCCCCCTTCCTGCCCTCTCCCTGCCACCACCTTGGTCATACTCATTCCCACCTCACAGAGTGGCCCTGAACAGAGGGGCCCTCTTGGCCAAACCCCGCTCATCACCGACAAGCTGACACAAGTTCCACAGGCTTCTTCCAGAAGCCGATTCCGGGGTTCCATGCAAGTTTCCCTACATTGTGCCCGAGAGAAGGGGGCACTGTGGTCAAATAAATTTGTAGATCCCGAGATACACAAAGTCTACCAGGCTGCCTGTTTCTTGCTGGGCTTCACAGAGCTTTTAGCAGGTGAATGTGACAGTCTCTGACCCACCCCCCTTAATGGCATTATGGATAACAGTTGACTCCAACAATCGGATTTCCTGAGGTTTTTGTTTCAATTCTGGCTCTATCAGTGACTAGAGGTCACTTCCGTAAAATGAGTAGTAAAATGATTAGCATCAGAGTTATGAGCATCAAACTATTTCATACAAAGGGCCCAGCCTGGGGCCATGCACCTGGTGAGGACTCAGAGAACGGAAGTGAGTAGTGACGGCAGCAGAAGTAGATCATGGGAAACGCTTTCTTATGGCATGTCTCGGCCCTTAAGATTCCAGTGCCTCACCCCACTGTCTTGGGCGAATACAATCAGTCGTTCATTTGGAGCCATGCTGAGCACACAGTAGCAATGTGGCCCATGAGTTGCAATGACAAAGGTGGTGCGGTTTGGTCATGTTGAATGTTGGGAGAAGGTATTCAGTGTGGCTCTTGGACTGGGGTGGGTGGGATTGGGGATGAGTAAGGGACAGACCCCAGGAGCACAAGGATAGAAGAAATAGCAGCTGCACGGACAGAAACGGCAGAGAGTGAGCGCTCAGGAGCTGTTGGAAGTCACCCTTTGGGGGCTTGATTTGTTCACATGGCAAGAGATGTCCCCGGATCTCACTTCCCTGGCCCCACCCTCCAAAGGCCCCTGGAGCTTTTACTTTGGGGGTACCCCTGGGGTGCTGGGGAGTTTGTAGCTGGAATCAGGTGCACGCTGACGCCGAGGAGCTCCTGGGAGCCTCTTGAGCCTCTTCGGTCACCATGGAGGTAGACTGTCTCCGGCCCCGAGACTCCTCTGGGACCTGAGGCCCCTCAGCCACATTTGAGCCTTCCTCCCCCTCAGGTACAAGCAGGGAAAGGGCACTCCCAGGAGAGCAAGAAGTGAGAGACGGAGAGAGAGAGAGTGAGAGCCAGCAGCCCAGGGTGGCCAGATCCAGAGCTGGGGGAAGGGCAGGGCGGTGGCTTCACAGGCAGGAGGCAGAGCTAGGGAGCCTCAGCTGGGAGTTGGGCATGGGTGCATGTGTGGAGCAGGTCAGTACAAAGGGCTTGAGATTTCCCAGGCCTCTCCTTGGGCCCTCCCTCCCTGCAGGGGAGGCTGGTGTGGTGACACAGGGCAGGGCCGGCTACTTGCCGGTAGCAGGCAGTGTTGATGAGGACTGGAGCGGGGCACGGGGAGGGGGGAGCTCCTGCACTGGGGAGTCGGCTCTTGGCCCTCACCTGACGCCCTCCCCTCCAAGTGCTCAGTTCTGAGGTCTGTTAGGGGCTACCAGAGGCGGGCAGATTGGAGCAGTGGTGGAGAAAGGTAAGACACGGGTGCACCTCCACCTGCCGTGTCTCGGCGCAGGGTGTGGTTCCTAGGCAGGAGGCCTCACAATAAGGGGCCAGGGGACCTGGTGGCAGGCGCTGCCATCTGAAGGCTGGGCAAACGGTCCTTTCCCCAGACACAGATAGGGATCGGGGTGAGGAGCAGGAGCTGGGGAGCTAGGATACGCTCAGCTAGGGTTAGGGCAGACAAGGCAAAGAGATGAGATAGGGAAACTGAGGCAAGACCTGGGGACAAAGGGCTGTTTCCAGTCTCTCTCCCTTCTTCTCTCAGTTCCAGGAAAACAAGAAACCAAAACTCCAAAAATAGAGAACTTTATTATCAGGGATGAATGTATATGGGCTGGGGAAGGGGAGAGGGGCCCAGCCTTGGAAGCCTGGGCATAAGGAAAAGGCTGACACACAGTACACATGAAAGGCACAAAGCGGGGTCCCCCCCCGGCACATTCCCAGGGCACCCTGGTCCCTTCTAGAGAAGCACCTATGGCTGGCCTCACACAGAGACCCGGGTTTGGAATAGACTTCTTCCCCATACTCTCCCCATTCTGCCTCCACATCCTTCTGCCCACCTGCCCATCAGCCCCCAGCTGCCAGGCCCAGCAACTGGTCCAACAGCCGGGGCTTGGCAAGTCACGGGCCTCTCCTCAGTGAGGAGGGGGCAGGAAGGAGACCACAGAGCATGCCCTCCCTCAGCTTTCACTCAGCTCAACCTCCCATGCCTGGGCAAGGTAGCAGGTTCATTACCAGGGCCCCCGTCCCCCCAGATCTGTGGTCCCACCTCCCACTCCTGGCTCAGGTTGGCCCCCACATGGGCTGGAGGGCACGGCACTCACAATACACCTGCTCCGTCACTCCCACACCTCAGTCCAGATGGCCCCATGGTAGGGGTGGGGTGGGGGCCGGGGTGTGCTGAGCCGAAAAGGCTGGCCTACCTGCTTGCTGGGGTATTTGGGGGGGTTGGTGCGGTAGCTGTAGTCGGAGTACTGCTCGGAGCCCGTGGACGTGGTGTCCCCGGTGCCCACAAACGTGTTTGCAGGCGGCAGGTCCTGTACCACCTGGTGCTTCTTGGAGGCCGAGGGTGACTGGGGCTGCAGCTGGATGGAAGGCAGAGGAGAATTGGAGCGGTAGTGGCGGCCCAGGTCGGGGCTGCCTGGCGGGTAGTTGAGGGGCAGGTGGATGCGGGGGCTGTCCCCAGGGGCGTCGCTCATCAGGTTGAACTTGAGGGACTTCTGCAGCCCGGTCTCATCTTCATCCTCCACTGGCTTCACAGGCTTCGGGGACTTGCTCTTCTTGCCTTTGCTTTTGTTGCCCTTGGAGGCTTTGCCGCTGGGCTTGGGGGCATACAGGTCCTTGGTCTCCTTCTTTCCAGCCTGGTAGCCGCTCTTGGCCTCCCGCTGCCGGCAGTAGCGCACAAGCACCGCCAGGGCAATGAGCAAGGCCACGGCCACGACCCCGGCCACCACACCGAAGAGGATGTTGCCCCGCTGCTTGGAGCGCTCGTATTCCGGGTCCCCAGCGATGTCGATATCCAGCGGCGTGTCCAGACTGTGGCCCAGTAAGGTCTCCAGCAGCGTGCGGTTGGCCAAGGTCTCGTTGACGTAAAGGTGGACCAGGGCTGTGCCATAGCGCGGGGGTTTGCCGCGGTCACTGACCTTCACCACCAGGCGGTGCAGCCCGTGGTGGCGTCGCTCGATCTCCTTCTCCAGGGTGATGGCACCCGAATGGGACCCGATCTGGAAGAGCCCATAAGGGTTGCCCCCGGCGATGCTGTAGGTCAGCTCGGCATTGACACCGGAGTCAATGTCCTCAGCTGTCACCTGGCTGACCGTCTCCCCAAGGCGCGTCTGCGGAGTGAGCAGCCGATGCGAGGTGTTGGAGGGGGCGGTGATGAAGGGCGCGTTGTCGTTCTCGTCCAGCACATTGATGGTGACACCCACGTAGGCTGAGCGGGGCGGCACGCCGCCGTCCACGGCCTTCAGCTGGAAGGTGTAGGTGCTCTGCTGCTCCCGGTCGAAGCTCAGGCTGGAGAGGATGGTGCCCGTGCCGTTCTGGATCACAAAGTCCCCATTGTCCTGCTCCACGGAGAGCTGCACCCGGGCGTTTTCCCCCTTGTCCCCGTCAATGACAGTCACCATGCCCACCGGGCTCAGCGCCGGCATGTTCTCCATCACTGAGAAGTTGTAGCCACTCAGCATAAACTTGGGGTCATTGTCGTTGCAATCTAGCACGTTCACGAGGACAGTGGCCGTGCCCTGCAGGCTGGGGCTGCCCCGGTCGGCTGCCACCACCTTCAACTCGTAGCTGTCCCGCTGTTCCCGGTCAAGCGAAGTCTTCACCCGGATCTCTCCGTTGTCAGGCGAGATGGTGAAGAGGCCCTTGGCAGCCGGCTCTGGTTCCAGAGAATAGACCAGCTCCGCGTTAGAGCCCGAGTCGGCGTCACTGGCCGTGACCTCGGCCACCACTTCGCCGGGCTTGTTGTTTTCCGGGAAGGCGACTTCGGTGACGCTCTGGGTGAAGACGGGTGCATTGTCATTGACGTCCACCACCTGCACCTTGAGGGAGTTGGTGCTCGAGAGGGGTGGGTTGCCGGAGTCCACGGCCACTATCTCGACAGTGTAGTCTTTGACCTTCTCGTAGTCCAGCGGGGTGGTGGTCTGCAGGAAGTACTTCTTCTTGCTGTCACTGCCCGTCTCGCTGGCCTGCCGTAGCTGGAAGGGCACGTCACCAGCAACCACACAGGTGACAGCCGCATTCTCCCCCTCGTCTCGGTCCGACACCTGCACCAGGGCCACGGCTGTCTCTTCTGCCACGTCCTCCGAGATGTTGGCCATCCCATCTTGATGGGTCACCAGCCCTATGCCCCGGATCTCGATGGTGGGAGCATTGTCGTTCATGTCCTTGACAGTCACCACCACCTGTGCTCGGGCGCTCTTGGGGTTGGCACCTCGGTCCTTGGCAAGCACCGAGAAGCGCAGGGTGCTCAGGTCCTCGCGGTCCACAGGGCCCTGGACGGTGATGAGGCCAGTGTTCCTGTCCAGTCGCAGGAGGCGCCTCACGACCTCGGGTGCCTGGTGGAATGTGTAGTCGATCTCGGCGTTGGCACCCTGGTCCGAGTCATTGGCCTTTACCTGCAGGGCGGGAGAGAGTAACAGGAGCAGGCAAGAGTTAGAGCAGGGACAGCCAACTCAGGGGCACATGCGCTGATCAGCATGGGAGACACGACGTGTCTAACATGGCAGCCAAAAGGCCTGATGCTCTGGTAGACGTTACTAACGTGTTTTTCTACAGAGCCCAGACGCGGCCCGCAAATCCTCCAAAATGCTGTGAGAAAAGAGCTGGGACATGATTTTTTTTCCTTCTAAGATTTTATTTTTATTTATATAAAAGTCAATGTGTGTGTCTGTGTGTGTGTGTGTGTGTGTGTGAGAGAGAGAGAGAGAGAGAGAGAGAGATGAGAGCGAGGAATAGATACAGAGAGAGGGAGATATTTTTCATCTGCTATGCTCCCTCCCCAAATAGCTGCATCAGCCAGGGCTGGACCAGGCCAAAACCAGAAGCCTGCAACTCCATCCAGGTCTCCCACATGGGTGCAGGGGCCCAAGCACTTGGGTCATCTGATACTTTCCCAGGCACATTAGCAGGAAGCTGGATTGGAATCAAACAGCCAGGACTTGAACCGGAGCTCCAATACAGGATGCTGGCGTTGCAGGTGGCGGCTTAATCTGCTTTGCCACAGCGCCAGTCCCAAGCCAGGGCATTGTTACATCTTACTTGTCATTGCTGTACAAATCCAAATAAGGGGTTGAGAATACAAGCAGCAACTAGGGAAGCACCTTCATCCAGTTAAACTGGCCTTCACCGCTCTGAAGAGAGGGAAATGTGTGAGTAGCAGAGATGGTGTGCATGCACGCACATACAGGGATGATGCACACACATGCACATACATGTCTGTAAGTGTGTGGGATGCTGTGTCTACATGCAGGAGTGCAGACCACATGCCCATGTGGGGGCCTCGGGTGAGGGGACTTGTTCTGAAAGCAGCCAGGTAGACATGTGGGTCAGAGGGAGCTGCCAGCCAGTGCTCAGTAAAACTGGGGAAACCTGTTTTAGAAGCTGCTTCTCCTCCAAGCCGGCGCTGGCGAGGCACCAATGTGAGGCCAGGAGGGAGGGGCTGGTGCAGGCCACAGAGCCTGCTGGCAGTGGGCTGGGCTCCCAGCATCAAACAATGAACTGTCTGTCCCTTTGCAGTGGGCACACCCTCCCACAGCAACTCCAGCGTGCACTCAGCCCAAGCCTGTACAAACACGGGTGGTAATGGGGCACCAGGCATGAGGTGGGAACAGCCACGAGCTATGACGGTCAGGCAAACACCAGGCTGGAGGTGGGTCACAGCCACACAGTTGTCCGAAGGCTGCAGCTGGGCGGAGGGAACAGGCGTAACCTGGGTGAGTTCCTGGGCAGAAGGAGAGCCCTGGGGCCGAAACCCCACTCAATCAGTTTCCAAGTAACTATGGGACTTTTTTTTTTTTTTTTTTTTTTTTGACAGGCAGAGTGGACAGTGAGAGAGAGAGAGACAGAGAGAAAGGTCTTCCTTTTTGCCGTTGGTTCACCCTCCAATGGCTGGCGTGGCCGGCGCGCTAAGGCCGGCGCACCGCACTGATCTGAAGCCAGGAGCCAGGTGCTTTTCCTGGTCTCCCATGGGGTGCAGGGCCCAAGGACTTGGGCCATCCTCCACTGCACTCCTGGGCCACAGCAGAGAGCTGGCCTGGAAGAGGGGCAACTGGGACAGAATCCGGCACCCCAACCGGGACTAGAACCCGGTGTGCCGGCGCCGCAAGGCGAAGGATTAGCCTATTGAACCACGGCGCTGGCCTAACTATGGGACCTTGGGCCAATTCCTTACCCTCCCCAAGCCCTGGTCCACAAACATATAAAATGGGGATAATAACAGACTCTGTCACGGGGTGGCGGTGAGGACTAAGAGGGATGACACACGCAAAACCGCCCAACACTGCCCGACACAAAGTAATTCTGAAACAGCCCTCATTGTTTCTTTTGTCCATCCCTCCATCCATCCATGTGTCGCCCACAAACCCAGGCTAACAAATTGCAGGGCGCAGCTGCTGTTGGTCTTTCCTCCTCCCTCCAGGAAGGGGCGATCCCAATCACACCTGCTAGGGCTTTGCATGGAGTGGAGACCCCCGCGTGGGGCGCCGGCTGCCCTGGCCTCTGGTCCAGTCTGTGAGTGCCCATCCATCACCAGCTCTGTGGTATGAACCCCTGTGGTCCCCCTGTCTTTAGGCTGCTCACCTAGCTTCCCTTTTTTAAACTTTTGTTTATTAGAATGCATTGACTTATTTTTAAAAATTGTTTAAAAATTTTCTTTTAGTTTTGAAACAACATTTGAAAAAATTTTTACATCACAGGGCTTCTTATCTGCCTCTCTGGGTCCCGGTCTACGACTATGGGCGTCTGCCTGCCTCCTACCCTCACCCAGCTCCAACTCTGCTCCTCTCCCACAGTCCTCCCCACCCCGTCTTCACTGCAGCCCGGGCCACCTCAGCCTTCTCCCCGCCCACCTGCGTGTCCTGTCTCACTGGGAGGTGGTGACGCTGTGAGCTCATGGGCTCTGCAGCCACACTGGTGAGCAGAGCAAAGGTGAGTGCCAAACCCATCAGCCGTGTGTTATCAGCCAGGCTCCTTCCTGCCTCTCCAGGGGCTCAGTTTCCCATCTGTAAACTGGGGATAATGCTACCTTGCACTGGAAGGATTAAATGATACAATACACATGATACGTTGAGAACAGTGCCTGCCACCTAGGCTATTATTATTCCCTATCCCCGACTGTCTGTCTCCCCTGTCTTTCTCAGTCTTTCCTTTCCAGGTTCCAGCCTACAGCCTTTTTTTTTTCTTCTTTAAAGAAAAAAAAAAAAAAAAAGGCTACGTCTCCCACTTCAGCCCGAGGACCTAGGAGGAAGTGTTTCCCAGGACAGGTAACGGTGTCCAGGGCAGGCAGAGCTCTCCTCGGCTCCCTCGCATCAAAGACAGAGGCAGCTCCAGCCCATGGGGGAGGAGAAAGGAGCTGGGCTGGCAGGAGGCCAGGGCTGAGATGACAGCGGGAGATACGCCCACTTGTCTGCAGGGACGCTATCTGCACTCCCTCCCAGGCCCAGGCCCCGCCGGGCTGCCCAGCCCCTGGGGCAGTTCCCATGCAAGGGGGGTGCTGAGAACATCAACAGAGCCACCTGACACCCCTCTGTGCCAAGGACCCCATACCCGTGGGCGCCCTGTGCCTGGGGAAGAAGGCAATGTGTACACACACACAAACACACCAGGGAAGGCCTTTCAGAATTCTGAAGACCCACCTGGCTGAACAAAGTGATTTCATCTCACTCGTCAGGTAAGGTACGGGAGGAAAGGTGCCTGGGTTAATTCAAACCCACCTCTGGCCAGGAAGACGGTCTCATCTCCCAACGGAGGCTACCTGGACAAAAAGCGACTCCTCTGTCCCAACTCAGCTCACCTGGCTGGGGCAGAAAGCGCTCACCTGACTTGGGAAAGAGTTCCACCTCTCAAGAGGTTTACTGGGGCTTGCCTCAAATGCTATGTCACTGTCACCTAAGTCGCCAGAGAGAGGACCTGTTTGGGTGGCAGTAGCAGTTTCTCTCCTACGCCAAAGGAATGCTCACCTGGCTGGGGTGGGCTCCCATGTCCAAAGGTTGTGGGGAGGGTGTGGGGGCTCCTCACCTGGATGACCGAGTGGCCTATGGGGCTGTTCTCAGACAGCTCAGCCTCGTAGGTGGGCCGCTCAAACTTGGGGGCGTTGTCGTTGGTATCGAGCACGGTGACCCGCAGCAGGGCGCTGCTGGCGCGGGGAGGGCTGCCGCCGTCCTGCACCTTGATGGTGAGGTCATAGGAGTCCCAGCGCTCGCGGTCCAGGTTGCCCATCACGATGAGCTGTGGCTGCTTCTCCTCCTGGTCCTCCGCCACCTGCAGCCCAAAGAGCTCCTGGGCCTCCGGCCCGGCCTGCAGCTCGTAGGAGGCCACACCATTGGGGCCGGCGTCACGGTCTGAAGCCAGCGGGATGGGGAAGAGCGAGCCGATGTTGGTGTTCTCGGGGATGGCCAGCGTGATGACCGGCGAGGCGAAGTTGGGTGTGTTGTCGTTGATGTCCTGGACTTCGATCTGGCCCTCCAACAGCCGGGGGCTGCCGTTCTGCACCAGGTCCGTGATGGACACCTCGAACTCCAGGATGCAGGGCTCCCCGGGGAGCTGGTTCTGGCACTCCCGGAGGCCCTCACGGTCGATGGAGGTCTCGGTGGTGAAAATGTCCCCCGTCTTGCCGTCGACTCGGAGGTAGGGGGCACCCACCTCCAGCTTGTACAGGTGACCCACGTCTGGAAAGCCGTAGTCAGCTGCGAGGCTCCCGATGAGGGTGTTGGGCGGCTGTTCCTCTGGTACCTTGTAGACCACCCGAGTGGCGTGGCCTGGGCACGGAGCCAGCAGGAGCAGCAGTGCCAGCAGCAAGGGGGGCAGCAGCAACCGACGCCCCCCAGGGCCCGGGCTGGGCCTCAGGGGCCGCATCCTCACAGGCTCTGGTATCAGGAGGGCTGCCAGGAGAAGAGGTAAAAAAAATCTGACCGTGAGCTGGCAAGAGGCACCCGGCTCCAGCTCTCCCTCTCCCTCCTACACACAGTTCTCCCAGGAAGAAAGTCAGTCCCAGCACAGAACCCCTGCTGGGTGTAGCAGCTGTGTCTGCCCCAGCTGGAGGAGCCGGAGAGAGGCCGGGCAGGTCCAGGGCTCCCGCCCATGGAACGCCCTATCCCACCTGACGCTCCCAGGGCCCGGCCCTCCCTTCTTCCCTTCCTCCTCTTTTCCCTCCCTGCTCTCAGCTCTGCACTCTACCCAACACCTCCTTCTCACCAGTACTCTGCCTGACTCACGCATGGTAATTACCCTGATACTGAGATAGGGGGAGAGAGAGCAAGGGGAAAGGTGAGGCTTTGGGAACCCCCAGTTGGAGCACCCTTCCCCCCATACATGGTTACAGAGAGATGCAGGTACCCCACACATGCATTGGAGCCTGGGATCCTCACGGCCCACACTGAGGTCCATGCAGGTTGGCTGGAGGGAGAGGCGACAAGACGCCGAGTTGGTATATGCAGATGAGACAAATCCCCCACTAAAACCCCTTTTTAAAATTGTATTTATTTTAATTTTATCTGAAATGCAAAGAGACAGTGACTGAGAGGAGAGAGACAGGGAAGGAGGAAAGGTATCCTGTTGTTTATGCCCCAAATTCCTACACCAGCCAGGGCAGGGACAGGTCAACCCAGGAGCCAGGAACTCCATGTGGGTGACAGGGACACAAGCACTTCAGCCATCACCTGCTGCATCCCAGGAGGCTGACAGGAAGCAGAGCAGCCCAGGCTTCCTAGAGGATGCTGGTGTCTCAAAGCGATGATGTAAGTGACTACACCACGCACCTGCCCCTCAAACCTATTTTTTTCTTACAATCATCCCCCATACTGCCCAACGGCCCCAAACCCCATGAAGCTTAGACTGGACACAATCAAAGCTCACACGTGTCCCAGAGTGTGTGTGCCCACGAAGGCACACGCACACACAAGCACACATGTGAAGTTCCCAGGGCTGTGCTCCTCCGGCCTGCTGCCACGCACAGGTGCGAAGATGACGAGGGCAGAAGTCAAGATTGGGGTGAGGACTGGTCAGGGATGACTGGCTCAGCAACTAGGAGCTGCCCTGGCCTGTCCTTAGTGACTGAGAGCCCAGCAGGTCTAACTGGGACAGGGCAGCCAGTGACACCACCAGCCTTCCCCAACCACTCCTCCCACCCCCACTCACACACCCCCTGGGCGCTCGGTGAACATCTGGCTCCTACTTGACCCCTACCCCTACATACATCCCCCTAGTACACGGCTGGTGCCTCCTCCTAACTGGTCCTGTCTTACCTCACTCCCGGTCTCCCTGCCCACCTCCAAACCCTTCCATTCAGATCCTTGTGTGCCTTGGTTCGGTACGAGCTGCGCCTGTGCCACCACGATAACCCTCTTCTTCCACCTCTTACGTGGCCTTGAGGCTGCACATTTGCTGACCACAGCCAGATCTGCCAGCTACTGCCCCTGTCTTGACTGCCCCCCACTCTCCAGCAAATCCAGGCCAGCTCTCCCTCCATGAAAATCCAAAGTCTTGAGCCCAGCAACCTCTGCAGAGGGCTCCGGCTCTGACTCCTTACCCCACTTCCCTACTCGGCGCACCTGGAATACCTGCCTACACCTGGATGACCCACCCAAGGATCTGCCACCCACCACACCCATCCCACTGAAGGCAGACAGGGGCCCCCAAAGAAGCCTTCCCAGGCTAGTCCAACCCACAGTGACCTCTCCTTCCTCCAGCTCATAGCCACTTATTGTCTGCTCCAATCCCAAGGCAATGAATCACCGGGCTGCCCGGGACACCGCCCGCCAGTGTAGCTGAACTCCAGTATTGCGTATCTGTTCCCACGTCTGTCTCAACAAGCATCCTGAAGGGATAGGACTTGGTACATTCATCCATCCCTCAGCCTCCACCAATGATTCTTTGTAAAGCCAGGCAAACTGCAGGCGCTCAATCGTATATTCAGGGAGTATTTCTTGGGCACTGGGACACAGCAGAAAACAAGACTGGCCCAGTGTGCTATGACAGTGGTTCCAACTCAATGGCCACTCGTCAGTTTTGCTGGGTTGCCTTTCTGTGCCCACTGCCGAATGTAGGGCAGCAGTGGGGAGAAGAGCAAGGGTTGTAGCATCAGAGCGTGTGAGGCAAACCCTGGCTACCCACTTCCTGACCACATGACATACTACTTAGAGCCTCAGCTTCCTTTTCCGTACAATGGGGCTATGACTGCCTATGTCCTAGGGAGTCTGAGATAATGCGGGCTTAAAGGACTAACATAAGCAAGGCACAAATGGACCCTTTCAAAGCACTTAGCTTATGTAGATATGCACCTGCCTGCAAAGTGCAAGAAGTGTCTTTCTTACCAGACTGAGCGAAGCGTGCAAAGGCCTCTACTCGGCTTCCTCCTGCATCCTCAGGGCCAGCCTGGGACCTGGTGCATGGGAGGGCGCTCAGCACGCAGCTCTTGAACGACTGCGTTACTGTGAAAGCTCCCTGGGCTTGGCCCATCGCAGCACTGACTGTGTGGTCAGCGCATGTTTTCTTGCCCCGTAGCCCAGAGAACTTGCTGGGATAAAACTGAAGGCTTCTCCGTTTAGAGTGCATGGCGGCCTCTCAGTCACGCTCACATGCTTCACCTCTCGGTAGTTACCCAGCACAGGCCCCTCCTCAGCAGTGTGAACCAGCTCTGATTAGCAAGCTTGTTTGTTTCCAGCTGCAACCTTAATCTCTTTAAAGGAAGGAGGAATGTGGATCCACCCTCCAGCCACCTCCCCTCCACACCAGCAGGGACATGGCACAGGGCTGACCTTGCGGCCTTAAGCCTCAACCCAACACACCTCCAGAGGACTGTCTCATTCCTTTCTGGGCACCTTATCCTGCCACCACCCTCCTCTAAGCACGGGATCACTGTGCACCCCAATTCTCTGCATAAATCTTGGCGGGATAGGGGTTACCCTGAACCTCCACAGAAATTACCCTAAACCTGACCAAGAGAAGTAGAGCAGTGACCGCTGAGGCTATACCCTCTCTCCAGGTGAAGGCTATTTAACCTGGTGGCGTCACACCCCTCTCTAATCATCTTATGGCACCATGAAGCAGGTGTTTCCAAGAAAAATGATTGGTCATGAGTTTTGTCTGCACAGTCAGGGGTCCATGATCTGGCAGAGTCAGGGTGCCTTGGTTTATGGCTGCTCTAAGAGACACAGATTAAGCCCCTCCACTCACACACATACACACACTCCGGAGGCTTCCTTCTCCTTCTCAGGGTGAAGCCTGCAGACTCTAACCCTGCAGATGCCCTAGGCAGCACCTGCAGGCTCGTGACGCGGCCCACCCAACACACACCCTCACACAGGAGATCCTCACAACCAGGCAGCAGGGAGTCAGGAAAACAGTGAGGTATTCAGCTTCCCAGTTGGGAAAAGAACCCACTGGGAATCCAAGACCGGGAAGGTATGGAGTAGCAGAGGAAGGGACAGAGGGAGGTCGGAGGAGAGGAAGGTGGGGTTGCAGGGAAGGTTGCCCAGGGTCGGCTGGGCCTTCGAAGCACCTGCAGCTCCTCGAATGAGGATTATCTGGCCCCACCCTTAGGAATGTTGACTCCAGTGGGCGGTGGAGACTCCCCCAGGGCAATTGTGCCGAGCTCAGTCCCAGACAGTCTGGGAGCAGCTTTGAGATACACTGGGTCCACAGAGTTAAGAGCAGAGGCCCTGCAAACTCTATTATCATCACCTCTATCACCATCATCGCGCAGACACTGAGGTACTAACAAACCCGCTAAGTGTTTTACACAAGCGCTCTCACTGAACCCTCTGAAAAGGGTACTGTTTATTACTGCACCTCGCCCCATTTCACAGAGGACCAGATTGAGGCCCAGAGAGAATAAACTGTCTTCAATTACGGAAGGAGTATGCGGAAAAGCAGGGCTCTTCCCAACCCAGAGTTGGGGGGCAAAGGCTGGATGGAGGAAAAGGATGGACAGAAAGCCCGGGAAGCTAGGATAGGGTGTGCCTCTCTTGGCTGGTTAGGAGCGGGAAGAGAGCGCCTTGGCATCTGAGACTGCTTGGGTCTAGGCCTCCCAGGCTGCGGCAGCTCATCTAGAGGCCTGCAGAGATGTAGCCTGGAAGGGTGGTGGCGGTGGGCGGAGCAGCAGCAGTCGAGGCTCTTTCTCACCCCTGCCCCCACAGTCTGAACTTTGTCCCCAGCAGTTGGTACTGGCAGTCATTAGTCCCAGGCGGCAGCCTTTGAAGCGATCAGTGCTTTATCTACCCTGCCCCAGACCCTGGCTGCCTTCCTGGACAAGGGCACCCCACCTCCACCCAGTGTCATGGGTGCCCAGGACCCTAAGAAGTCCGAGCCTCAGCAGAGTCCAGCACAGGGATTCATTTCTCTTAGGCCTGAGCGTGGAAAAGCCATGAGGAGTGGAGGGAAAGGCCCCCTGCCGGCCAACATCTAGGCAGGGGTGAGGTTCATGTGGGGTACAGGGTCCACTGCTTGCAGAATACTGTGGCCCTGGGAGGAAACACATCCGTCACTGTCCCAGTGACCAGGTCACCCAGCACAGTTCCACAGCAGTCACTACTACTGTGGGTACACACCATCAAGGGACAAAGGGACTGTGTGGCATCATCTGGGAGCTCAGGGTAAGTAAGTGGGCTGCGTGGGGTGGAGTCACCGGCTGTGCAGCCCTCAGCTCCCCCCTCCCTCCTGCAAACCTTTGTTGGCCTCTGCGGGGCTCCCAGGCACCAGCCTTCTGGAGAGACACTTCCTCGCTGGGTGACCTGAGCCCAAGGAAGTCACTTTCGTGAGCCTCTTTCCACACTGTGAAGTGGAAATAATGAACCCCGCTTCTTGAAGCTACCTGGGAAGACTCGAATGAGATCGGATGCTTCCGAGGTCTATTCATTGTCAAGGACAGATTTTTAAAATCACTGAAGAGAGCATTTTATTTCCAGCACCAGGCACGTAGTAGGTGCTCATGAGTTCGATGATCAAAGAACCCTTCTCCTGCCTGCTGGCCAGGCCTACCAAGGCAAAAAGGCTATGTCTGCTACTGCTGGTCCTGCAGACTCGGGCAGGCGGCAAAAGTGCTCACGACGTGGTTCAGCAGAAAACCTCAGTGCAGCCCTCATATCCTTGCTCAAGGGGCAGCGCTCACCCCTCAACAGAAGGGCTTCCTCCCCTCCCCCAGCCTGGATTCCTACTTAGCTCCTCCCCCACCCTGCAGGCCCCCTCCCGGCCCTTCCACCCTTTTCTTCCCAGCCCTTCACTCTCCAGCCTGCCCGCCCCTCCGCCTGGAGGCCGCCGGACCCAGATACCCCTTTGCATCTGAAGTCCCTTCTGGAACTGAGGCCCGGGGGTACGTGGGGGAAGGGAGAAAAAGGAAAGGCGGCCAGAAATTAACAACCCAACCTGCTCCCCTACCACCCCCCGCCGCTGGCCATCTCCGGAGATCGCTTCTCCACCCTCGCCCTGGCGCTGCGCGTCCTGTTGTAGCCCCAGGTTTCAACTTCAGACCCCAGCGTCCAGGGAGTTGCCCCCTCCCCCCACCTCCACCCTTCTGGGTTGTCAAAAACACCTGGGCGGCCCCTTTGCCGGCGGCACCCGGGGACTGACCCAGAGCAGGTGCTGGAAGACAGCCTGCGTCTTCCGGCATCAGGTCGCCGGTTCTACCCGCCTGGGCAGCCCCGTCCGCACCGCCCTGGTCGGCGGGCGCTCCCAGCACACACCCAGCGCGCGGAGCGTCTCCTCCCAGAGGCAGCCGAGCGAGTGCGGCGTGGGGTGGGGTGCGGGGACCGTGCGGTTCCTCGGGTTCCGGCGGCCCCACCCCCACACTGCCGGCGCCCGGCCACGGGAGCCCGAGGCGAGCCGAGACCAGAGCGCAGCGCGGCGCGAGAGCGCCCGAGCTGGCCGGCAGCGAGTGTCCCCCGCCCCTGGGCCGCCGCGGGGAATCCCTCCTCGCCATCTCCGGCCTCTGGTCTCCCGCAAACTGGCGCCGGCAGAGCCGAGATGAGCCGCGGGCGCCGGCAGGGGGCTGGGAGGGAGCCGGACCGGGCGGGGACACTGGCGTAAGCCCGACCCACGCGCAGCGGGGCGGGAAGGGGGTCTTTGCCCCTGCGCTCGGTCCTCAAAGGCCTCAGCGTCGGCCGAGATCTTTCCCGCCGGAAGGACGAGTCGCCGACCCCTGCTGAGGAAATCGAGGCCAGAAGTCTGAGCTGGGGAGGGCAGCGGGGGAAGGGGCGCGAGTCCAGCTCGCCCTTCCGTTCCGCGCCTGCCGTGATCTCGCTTCGGGCTCAGGGCCTTGCCTGCTCCCACGGCTGGCCCGCAGCGGGGCCCTGACGGTAGGAGCCGCCCAGGTGTGAGGCCACCCAGGTGTGCTGGCAACCCCGGTGGCTTGGAGAATTCAGCTAAACCGACCTAAGAGGGCCGCAAACACCGCCCCAGGTCTGCACCCTCTGCAAGAGGACCGAGGTCCCCAGAGCCCCGGGCGGAGGCACGGCGCGGCCTGCCAAGTCCGGCTCGTTCCCGGAACACCCAGCCGGTGCGGCCCCGGAGTGGGGGTGGGGAGGCGCCGGCCAGGAAGCCGGTCCGGCCGGCCCCGAGGCTCCCGTCGTGCGGACATTTACAATAACAATGTCGCGATTGAGGCGGCTGCGCGCTGGGGGCTCGCCGCGGACCCCGATGGCTCCCCAGAATCTGGCCTCCGAGGGAGAGGGGCCAGGGCCGAGCGCCGGCGCGGCTGCGCTGCGGGGTGTAATGTGACACCAGCGGTGTCAGGTGTGTGACACCAGCGCGGAGGATGTGCGAAGCCGTGGGTGATGTGTGTGTGGCCGCGAGGCGCTGCCGTGGGCGCCGTTGGCTGCTGGGGAAGCGTGCCGAGACCCCGGGCTGGGTGCCATCCAGACCTGCCCCACACACCTGCGTTCTGGCCAAGGCGTGGGTCACAGGATCTACGTTAGGGTGGGTTCCCTACAGGAATGTGTGCGGGGGCCGGGTTTTGAGTGTGCATCTGACAAACTGGCCTTGACACCCGTATGTGAGCTGAGGGCCCACGGCTGTGTTTGTGTCACACCGGTCGTGTGTCCGTGCTGCTGGTCGTGCAGACGCCGAAGCGCATTCTGAGCTGTTAACGGTGGCCCAGCCGGCGCTGGTGTGCGGGAGGTATGTCAGCGCACACATGTGCCGATGTATGTATGGGTGTAGACATGTCGGCGGTATGGCCCTGGGTACCCGCGGGGAGCGGGAGGCGCCGGAGTGAGCCGAGCTGGTCGCCCAACAAGTGTGTGTGCATGTGTGTGTGTGTGCGCGCGCGCGCGTGTGTTGTGGACAAGGGTCCCTTGCCGGCTCCGGTCCACCGGAGCTCCCCACCACACTGGGGGCCGGGAGCTTCCCCGAAACCATCCTCCCCCGGCGCGCGCCTGGAGTCTCCTTATCCCTGCCGCCCCAAGCGCGCCCGGATGCGGGGTACTGGGGCCGGGGGCCGGCTCAGGACCCCCTCCCCTCTCTCGGTTTCTAGCCGTGAACCCTGGAGGCCACGTTGCCCGGCAGCAACCCCCTCTCGGTGCTCCCGGCCACCCCCACCTTAGTCCCCGCGCGCGGAGCACGGACCCGGCCCCCGCGGCCTCGCTCCGCTGAGCGCCCCTCCCTCAGCTCCCGCCGGCCATGGCGCGCTCCGGGCCCCAGAGCCGCTGCCGCCTCCACCGCCGCCAGATCCTTACCCGCCTCGGGGCAGCACCGGCCGCCGGCCCCGCTGTCCATGAGCGGCCGCCGGCCCCGGCCCGGGCTACGGCTCGGCACGGCTGGGGCTGGCGCTGCGGTTCGGGCTCCGGCTCGGGCTGGCTCCCGGCGCAGCAGCCCGGCGGCTTGGCGTCCGCGCCGCGCTCCCGCTCCCCGAGTGTGTGAGGCGGCGGCAGCGGCGGCAGCGGCGGCGGAGCCAGCGCGAGCGGAGCGCACGGCCCGGCCCGCCCCCTGCCTCCCCCTCCCTCCCGGCCCGCCCGCCTCCCGCTCGCCTCCCCGCCCCCCTGCGGCCGGGGGGTGGAGCTCGGGTCCCGTCGGGAGGGGACCCCGAGCCCCTCTTCCCCTAGCTGGGACGCCCCCCGCCCCGCGCCATCTCGTCGGCCGTCCCCCTCCTCGCTCTGCGCGCTGACGCTGACCCCGGCGGAGCTGCGTCCGGGACCCCTCCGAGGTCCCCTCCTCACCCCACTCAGGCACCTGTCCCCACTCTGCCCCCGGGAAGGCGACGCCGCCAAGCGTCTCCGCTGGTGCCTTCCCCCCTGGGCACCTGCGCCTCCAGAGTCACTTCCCGCCCAGACCCCCGCAGAGCCCGCGGCGCCCGGGGAAGTCCGCCCCTCCCCCGGCCGGAGCCGCAGAGCGGTCAGCCTCATCGGCCGCAGAGAGCCGGAGGTGGGGCCCGGAGGGGACTGTGAGAGGGGCAGACGGTGGACCCCCCCGGGGCCCCAAAGTGAGGGTGAGGGAGGCAAACGGGGATGAGTGTGGGGCGACCCCTGGGCGCAGGCTCCGTCAGGGCCCCCAGCCACCTGCTCGGGGGTGGAGACGCGCGCGGCCTCACGCTCGGCCGGCGACACAGCGGAGCGGATCCCTACCCCGCGAGACCCCGCAGTGTCACGGCCTGTGTCACCCGCCTTCGCAGTGCCACACGCTCCCTGTCACACTCACCGAGTCACACTCGGAGGCACACGCAGAGCCTCACACTCGAATACTCGGTGTCTCCCGCTCAGCGCCGGCTCTCTGGCGCCATCTAGAGGCCGCCGAGCGTCTAGGGCACTCCCTTTCTTGCGCCAGGGTTTGGTGCCCCCCCCACCCCCCCAACCCAGGACCCCACGGAGCCCGGGTTCAAGAGGACCTCCCGCCCGGCGCAGGGGCCCAGTGCTCCAGGTCAGAATGAAAAAGGCGGTGCTTGGCAAGGCCTGGCCGCTGGGTGTAAAGACCTTTGTCATGGGTTGACTGGTGTCTGAGCGTCTATTTGCTGCAGCCTCTGATCCTGGTCCATTTTTCCCCACCCCCACCCCCAGTACCCCCATTCCTACCTCTGGGCTGTCATCTGTTTCTTCTGCCTCCACCTCTCACCTGCACTGGCTTCCATCTGTGGGACGCCTTCTACGGTAAGGGTGGGCTTTCTGGCCAGCTAAGAGGGCAAGCAGGGGCTGCCCCCTGTTTCCCCCAGAGCAGCCTCCCTCAGCTGGGCTCCCCCTCTGCCCTAGTCCCTGCCCCCCACCCCCGCTCAGCTCCAGGATCCCAGGTGGGGGACTCCAAATGGGAGATGGTACAAGGAGGGTCTGTCCTGTAGGTGGTTTCTCCCTGTCCCTTGCAAAGCTCACACTTTTCCCCATCACTGAGCATAGTTCCGAAAGAAGGAATCAGTGGCCCAGAGAGAAGAAATCTTCCATGGAAGAGCTGCCCCAGCCTCCCTGCCCCCAGCATGCGCCTGCTGCCCACTGCAGCCAACCCTCCCCGGTCTGCTTGCTGGGAGCCACTCAAAGACTCCTCTGTTCTCCTCCCGTGTTCAGGGCTGAGGGCTGAGCAGGATCGGCAGCCGCAGAGCCGGGCAGGAAATGCTAATCTCCCAGATGTTCTCCTCCATCCTCCCCGCTCCACAACCATCAAACCCAAATCCTGCACCAAGTGGCCGGAGCAGCACGGGGCTGGGGCGGCAACACCAGGGTGGGCTTTCTCACCTCGCCCAGCAGCCAGGCTGGGCTCTGTGGGGACCTCAGCCCAGGGCAAGGTAGACACGGGACTGGAGCCTGTGTTCCCAGCATGAAAGGCAGGCAACAGGGCAGGGACGGGGGAGAGGATGGCTGGGGAGCGATGAAGAGGCATCTGAAGGGGAGAGAAGCCAGTCTCCTGGCCGGTGCCAGACTGGGAAGAGGACCTGGTGGACAAGCCTGAGCAAGGTTCCAGCTGAGACTGACCAGGGACTGGAGTCTGGGTGATGCTAGGTGTGGGAGTGGTTGTGCACTGTGTGATGTGTGTCCCTGGGAGGGGCAGCAGCTAAGAGGAGCAGGAGGTTGTAGGGTCTGGAACTGTAGCAGAAAGACAGTTGCCGCTGGTGGTAGCAGGATTTGGTTTAATGCTGGTGTGCCTAAGCTATAGCCAGACAATCACATTACTTGAGGGGCTGTTGCCAAGTGTTCTCCCCCCGCACTGTGTGTGTGTGTGTGTGTGTGTGTCAAGGAAGAGAACTGAAATGCTGTTGGACCCGAAGCACTAGATATGAAGCTGGCACACCTGAGATTGACTATAGCTAAAAAAGCCGTTTGTTCCCTGTTAATATGACGTAGGTCGGCTGTAGCTTTATCCGCTGCCTATGCTGTAGGAGAGGAGAGGCTGTTGATAGGAGCCTGTACCTGGGAGGCAGGCTGTTACCTGGGATAAGAGCAGAGCTGCGGTTGTGTACAGGGCTGTAGCTGGGATGCTATTGGTCCTGAAGCTCTAGCTGTGATGACAGCATACTAGGGATTGGCTGTAGCTAAGATGCTGTTGCCCAGGATTGTGGCTGGGCTGTTATTATGTGCAGGACTCTGGCTGGGATGCTGTTTCGCCTGCAGCTACAGCTTTGAAGCTGGAGTATAGCTGGGAGGCCATTTGCTGGTAACAGAACTGGACCACTGTTGTGTGGGAGCTGTAGCTGAGCCTCTGTTGTCTAGGAGATGGGAAGCTGTTGCCTGGGATGGTGTTTGGGGAGGCAGGATGCTGCCTGAGATGGGAGCTGACCTGCTGTAGGAGCTGAGGCACAGTTGTGCTTCGGATGGCTCCCAAGTGGCTATTGCTGGGTCTGTGACTGGCTGGATGGGGGAAGGTGACTAAGTCCTGCCTTAGGGTCTGGGAGATGCCAGGAGCTCCAGCCTGGGCGGGGGCTGTTGCTCTGGGGAGGCCTCAGCAGCTGCTCAGCTGTGGAGCTGGGAAGCCTGTTTTCATTACTGTTTTAACTCTTTTTTTAACCTTGTTTTTCTCTCGACTGCACTTTCGCTCACTCATTAATTTTGGTATTTTTCTCACGGTGCCTCAGCCCCTGTCACGGCTGCCATGGCAACAGGAGGCAGTGTGCACAGTGCCAAAATATCTGATCAAAAAATAACCAAAATAAGCAAACACCAAGAGGACTGTGCTGGGAGCTATGGATGAGAGAGCCAATGGCTCAGATCCAGGAAACCCTAAGCTCCCGGGGGACCCCTTTCACCCCAACCTCTTCCCCAGGAAAGAACCTGAACCTCTGATAATCTGAGAGGCCCTTTCTCAAGAGACCCTCACGGCATATTCTCCCAGGACTCCAAGATTTCCAACAGTCCCTGGCCAAGAGGCAGCTTGGCCTGAGGTAGGAGCCTTGGGAAGGGGTCAGGCCCACTTCCCAGCAGCTGCCGGGGAGGCTCTAAGAAGCACCCTGCCTAATGCTCCACACCTGTCTGCACCCCTCCCCTCCCTTCCCCTCCTGCCTTAGACTTATTCCCCTTTCTTAGCCCCTAACCCCCACTGTGCCTCCTGCACTTTCCTGACCTTACAGCCCATCAGCCTGAGGAGTCGCCAGCCTCCAGGTCTACCCTGATTGGGTGGGGGGGGGGGGGGGGGGCTAGGGAGAGATGTTGTAAATGTGCCTGGCACTCCCAGGCCTCTGGCCAGCTCTGGCGCCGCCTGCCCTGTGGAATTCCTAGGTACCCTGAACACCACAGCTCCCTCCAACTTCTCCTCCCATTTCTTGAGGCTTCCTCTCCGTGGACGTGGCTCCAGGAGGGGCAGGAGGATGGAGCCTCACATGAGGAGAAAGGCATCACCCATCTCCCTTCCTCCCTCACCCACTGACCTCCCCTCTGAGGCGCTTGCCTAGCTGTCTGGAGCACTGGGAGTTGGGGGAATGAGAAGGAGCGCTGCACCCATGTCTCAGTCACATCACTGTTAACCCTGTCCCCTCTCCCTGCTGCCCTGCCCCCACCCCCAGTGGGAGTCTCACTGCTTGCCAATCCGATCCCCACCTCCTGCTGGGAACGGCTAGAACTCACCTCCGCTCCTCACTTGCAGTTTCTATCCCTCCATCCCCCCAAGAGCAGTAGTGGCCTTGGCCTCCTGGCAGAGCCTTCCTAGCTTGTTTCCATAGAAACCTGGTAGGCTGTGCAGTGCGGGGGAAGACAGGAGCAGGAAGGAGGGACCAGGCCTGGGAGGCAGCTCCAGATGAAGGGACAGGGCCCCAGAGAAGGGGCGCTGCCTCTCCAAACAGAGGGCGGGGCCCTGCTTGGGGAGGGGAGACAGAGGTGGCAAAAGCTTGCTAGGTTCTCTCCCCACACAGCTTTCCCTGCTGCTTCCTGAGAAGGGGCACACACTGTCCCTTTTCCTGGCACAGGGAGAGAGGGGTCCTCCCCACTCACCCCCTTAAAATTGTTCTGGACCTAGAACTGCTGGCCTGGGTTCTCTTTTCCAGGACCCCTCAGTCGTTAGACAGGGACCACGGGGTACCTTCCCTCCCCCAAGAGCTCGACACCCTCCCTGGAGCTGCAGCTCCTAGATAGGGAGGCTGTGCCGCCCCAGGACCCGGTGGCCGCCGCTGACCCCATGGCGTGCGGCTCTCAAAGACGCCATTCATCTGTGGGGGCTGAAGGCGCCATTGTCCCGGGCAGGGTGGGGGGAGTGGTGTGCGGAGCGGGGGGGTCTCGACTCAGAAGGAAGGAATGCGTCTGGAGAGGTTCCCCCGGGGCTGCGGGGCTCAAAGCCCTCACCAGACCTCCATTGGGACCCTTGTGTGACCCCAACCCCCTCGCAGGGGCTCCCGGCAGCCTGCGCGCCTCTGCTGCTGGTGGGGGAGCCGCGCCTGGACCCTGTCGCCTGTGCTCTTGAGCCGGTTCTGGGGCCTGGAGCTGTCCAGCACCTCGGGTCCTGAAAGGTGGCTCGTTCTCCTAGGCGTCATCGGATGAGGCGGC